TTAATTTCAACTTCAGAAAAAGAAGAATGCTTGGCAAAACTGAAGAAAGTTCAGTTTGAGTGGGATGAGAACAATGGGACCAAAAATAAGTTCAAGGATTTGAACAAACAGCTGCAGGATATTCTAACTTAATATAATTCAGGTACGAAGATTTACTTTTTTCGAGCAATAGCTCATAACCTGCATCATTATTAAAGGTACTGTATATCATCTATATCACTTCTAATGTGCTTTATTCTTAGGAGGTAGGGTAGCCTATCCTCACCTGCTCACAGTGCACACTGTTAGTACACTTTGTGTCTGTGCAAATGGAACCAACGGGGAGGGTGCTGCTTAACTTCCAACACTTTGTTTCTTTTTTTTTGCTCATCTGTCACTTTCATCTATTTTCTTCTGACTGGTATTAAATTTTAATGCTGCCAGGGACTTCACAGGCAGTTTGTTAGCATTTCCTTGTCTCTTTTTGTGCTTTCACAATGCCAAACAAAAAGGAATACCCCGGATGCAAGAAGACAGGCGAAAATGTAATAATAATAATAATAATAATAATAATAATAATAATAATAATAAAGAACCATATGGAAATACAAAAATGAAAAAAAAAATCAAAAGTGAGAAACAATATACTGTATGTATGTTGTGTTGTCAAAGTAAGAGAAATAATTGAGACCCTGTAATTGTGTGTAAATGAGGCAGAAAGTCAGATCAGCAACCTGGGACTTGGTCACAATTTTCGTGATGCCATATGGCAGCAGGGTCTACCAATATCTTCCCAGGCAGTAGTACCCGGTACCTCCCTGTTTGGTAAGCTGCCTACTGCTGACACCAGTGAAACCGTTGCTTGATAATTATACAGCCCTTTTGGCACAAGTATATACACCTCTTTGAATATCATCACTTAGAACTGCTTATCAGTCATCATTTTCATCAATTTAAAAAAAAAATCTGTACAAGAAGGTGAAATCTTTAATACAGCACTCATTTTATACACCTGGTCACCTCAGCATCTTGGGGGCTGTAATATTTACATTCTTTCTCTTGTTTTTGTCGTTATGTCAACGACGGGAAATATTTTCCAACAGTAGAAGGTAAGCAAATGTAAACATGTATATCAACGTCTAAATAAAACAAAAAATCGGTATTTAAAAACAAGAAAAAAAAGTAAAAAACAACTCGTTGTTTGCAAAACCAGTGACTGATTGGTTCTACATAATTATAAAACTGAAGAAAATAAGACCCTGGTTGTAGCTTTAGTAAAATTAATGTAGAAAAATTAACATGGTTGTTTTAAGTAATGTTATTTAATGTTAATAAATGGAACAATGGAAGTAGCAAACAATTAATGATAAAGAAAAAAGTGAGATGGCGTATGTAAGTGAGCACATGTGTAAACATATCATCATTACTCTACATAAGAATATGAAAGCAACTCTAATTTATTGTTCATATATATTTAAATTAATGATTCAGAATTCAAAAAAAAATTCTACCCACCAGTGGTGGTAAAGTTGAAAACATATGGACAGCCAATGTTGTTGTTGTGTGTGTTTTTACTTGGATGACGAAGTTGTATTTAAATTTGGAAGATTTTAATTTTGTGGGGTTTTTACAGTCTAAATGGGTATCCAAATATGAGAGCCTACTGTAAATAGGTGTCCAAATATGAGAGCCTACATATAAAGAAACAAACATTCCTGCATTTGAGACCAGCAGACAACCTTTAGCAATTCCTCAATAGATGGCGCTGCCGCACCACTGCCATTAGTCAACAATCCGCACAGCAGCAAGGGTTTATTTATATATTTTTTTTTTTTTGCAATATACCAACAATATTAGTTAAATCAATAGTTTTATAGTACTGTATAGAGAATACTTATAAATGGTAAGTACTGTAATGAGGTAACAGTCTTTGTAAGGGGCTGATTTCAAAAACCTTTGCTACAACTCATCGGCTAGTGTCCTGGAAGACGCATGGTAATTTTCGAGATATATTTTTGTCATAAAAAGTGCGTCTTTTAAGCCAAAAAATACGGTGACATATTGATAATATATAGTGCAGTGTTGATTTAAAGAAAATAATCTTGAATTACACCTAGTGAACTTAAAATGTTATTGGTGAAATGAGGCATCAAGCATGGGTCCACTGAAGGTGATTTTTCCTCCATACCACTTCTTTCTTTTCTCCCTTCTCCTCCACCCCACTTCTAATTCCATCATCATCATCAACCAGGAGCCTTCTACATACACACCTCAAAGTAAGTGTACTTTACTGCATTTTTATTCTTTGTATGTACTTTTGGTGAGCTGGAACCAATTACCCAATATCCCATTGAAACAATGGTTTCGGTTAACGAAATTTTCGGTTAACGAAATTTTCGGTTAACAAACAACCTTCTGGAACGAATTGTGTTCGTTAATCGAGGGACCACTGTATGCAAATCTGCCTTTTGTGAAGCCAACATAAATGAGGGTGACCTGTACATTGTCTTCTATTAGGTCAGGTCAGCTTAGGCTAAATATTTTCAAATTCGTTTTACTTGATTAAAAAATTTTTAATACTGAACACATAAGAAATACTAAAAAACATGGATACGTACATGGATTTCAAGACATAATTAAACCTAAATGTGATAGGGGGTGAGGGTAAATTCTATGGGGGACTGGGTATTATGGGGTTAAAGCATTGAATACCTGGTACTTATTCAAATGTCTTAAAAATCTGTGCTATTAATGTATGACTGGTAAACACACATCTCCAGTTGTTTGATTAAAATTTTAATCCTAAAACTTAAAAAAGAAAAGGTTTGTAACCACCCCCCATCAAAAAACAAAAATTGGATCCAGAAGAAAATTAAATGAGATTCTCTGTTTAACAGAATTTTGAAATGAATATCACTTTTAGATTCATAAGCACCATTATATCTTAGGAACATCAAAGGTCAGAAACCATACCCAAAGAACCGGGTTTTCACTTGTTACCATACACCTGCTGGCCAGTAATCCTCAATATAAAGGCCACATAGATTATGTATTACAATACAGCACACAAGAGTATTTAAGTATTACTGCACAGTAAACCCTCAAGATAATGGACTAATTGGGGGATAACCATGGTTACTAAAGCCAAAAATCTGTTAAAACTGATCGTCCAATAATTATTTCAAAGTAAAGGGGGGGGGGGGTGTTGAAATACAAGCTACAGTATTTTGAAATTGGAGGAGATTTTGCTACTTATCGTATAAATTTTAAGTACATTCCTGAAACGAAATATTTTACATTAATCCTCCAGTAATGTTTAAGATACAGCATGTTCTTAAAATAACCTAATTATTGAAGAAATAATAAGTTGAATATATTTTGTCCATAAATATATACATTAGCCTCTGTTCAGATCACTACATTCATCCCCAAAAGTAGCTTTAACTGTATAATGTTACATTAAAACTTAAAACTGTAAGTATATAAAAGGCAATACCAAAGCATATAAATAGTAATAATGAAAGCGTAAAAAAAGCAAAAATTATACAAGTTACTGTTCACACTGTGCCCCAGTCTCAGGGATACTGGCTGCCTCAAACACACACCTTAGCAATTCAGCCCAGCTGGCTTTCCTAGCAAAGGTGCTCTTCCACGGACCCTCTGTCCTTTCCACATGCTCAATACACAGCTTCACAGTGGAATCTGTAGCTGCTTAACACTCTTGGGGTTTTCATATGCCAAATTGGCTTTGACCTAAACTAACTCTTTTGGGTTTACATATGCAAATTTGCATATGAAGTACAAAATTTAAATAAAATAATTTTGTTTGCGTATGAATGCTAGACACTCAAGACACACATTTGGCAATATCAGTGTGATCTGGCAACTAAGTAGACTGCACTCCAAGGTCACCACACCAGTCTCCCCTTTGTGTTTAAAAGACCCAGGATATAACGCTGACCACCATTTCCCAAGCATTTTCAAGCAGCTTGTGCTGATTTCTTGTGCATCACAGTGATTTAATTATTCATAACAGTGTTGTGAAAGTTTTAAACCATGCCCCGTGTTGCTAGTGAGGGTGGAAGGGTGGGGAAATGTAAAAAGTGTAAGGAGATTGCACCACGTTATGATAGTGTGGTGCCTCCAGATGCCTCTCCCAGCGTAAGTGATAATTTGTCTGGCCCTTCAACAAGCAGTCCTAAAGCTATGACTCAATACAGTATATACAAATATGTTTTGCCCCCAAAGGGAAAAAATGTATAATCAATACTCTGCCTGGGAGCGCTCATCAGTATGCACAATTTACACCACTATTATCTAGCAAAATACCTGCAATAATTTTTTGACAACTTTTCTTCTATAACTATTTTTTTTCTAAATAAGTACGCTTCATTACGGAATAAAGTTCATATTGCAATCACATGAAATAATGAAAGTATAAAGTGATGTACAATATAAGCATTTATATTAAGGATAAACAAAAATTTTGTGTTCTACTCACGCTTACATATAGAAATAATTACTTTATTGTGATTACTGATATAAAACTGTTTGTAGATAATTTATTTAAAATGCTAATGCAATAAATTCCACCTTTTTATCTCAAATAGCAAGCTTGCTATGACTCATTATGTACAATTATCTCTCGTGTGGTGAGGTGAGTAACAGGCCAGACCACGTGCTTCTTCCAGGAGAGCGCCTACCCAAATCCCAAAGTGTTAAAACTTTATACAGTATATATATATATATATATATATATATATATATATATATATATATATATATATATATATATATATATATATATATATATATATATATATATATATATATATATATATATATATATATATATATATATACATATACATATATATATATATATATATATATATATATATATATATATATATATATATATATATATATATATATATATATATATATATATATATATATATATATATATATATATATATATATATATATATATATATACTGTATAGATTTATTTATTTTATTTTTTCACTTTCTGTATACTGTATACATTTGAAGGCTTCTGTGCTCATGTAACAGAGTAAAAGAAAATTTGAATTTTTTTATATCTATCCAACATTTTAAGTGAAAAAATAACCATAAAAACATACACCTTACAGATGGGGAACAGTTAGAAATTTTTCCCTTTGGCCTGGTAGCAAGGTCCAGGGGGTACAGCAAGGAAGCCCAGGATAAAGGCGCATATAATAAGTGTGGTGATGATGAGTAGAAAAATGCATGTGTGTGATAATGGTTGTTTATTGCTCAAGTTTTTCAGCTTGTTTGTTATTCTTTGTTGTATATTACAGTTATTCCAGCTAGCATTCATGCAGTGACAAACTATCAGACAACTCCAAGTGATAATGAACCCCTGTCCATTATTCCGAGGATTTGTCCACTAGGGTTAGGGTGTCCGTTATAACCGAGTTTCGTGATATACATTGTCCGTTATACCGAGGGTGTACTGTATTACAGATTCCTGCAAGTGGTATGGTAAAGCTTAGTATAGTATCATTTCCTCCCAATGCGAAAACAGCGAATTCAAAGAAAGAATTCCATACTACTGCCAGTATCCAGACATTTTTAAACTGTAAAAGAACCTTTAGTGCTAACCTTTATACTTTACCTTCAACATTTTCATAAACTCAAACTGTGAAAATCCCAAGTGCCTAAAACTTATGTTGGTTGTCAGAGATCCACCTCCGCTACATCTTCTAACATGAGAAATCTTATTACTCGAGGGGGAAGAGAAGAGGCCTCAAGACTCACTTGGACCCTCTCCCCAAGTCGATGGCGGATGTCAACTCTGCAGAGATCGGCAAGTGTCAGGGGCTGTGACCTGCCAAATTAATAATTATATAAATAAAATTACAATGATAGTACAGTACATTCTACAAAACTTAATAAAAATATTATCATAAAAGGTGACATAGGTTTAAAAAGGAACATAATGGGCATGGATTGACAGTACTGTAAACTGGTTCTGGGATTGTTCCAGTTGCAATTGGGGTTGCAAATTTCAAATTCTATCATTACTAAGGAATAGCAAAGTCTCTGGTGCACTCTAAAATTAAGAGAAAACGGACAACTCAGGCGTCCTAAAGTGAGAGAAAACGGACTCCTATGACGGGGCACTCAAATAAACATATACATAGCTGTATAATGCAATATTAATCCCTAAATCGGTTAATTCGGACAATCGGCTACAACGGACCCCCTTCCCCCCCATTAGTCCGTTTTAACGAGGGTCAACTGTATATACATACACAGTATAGTCTGGGTTTACGCGGATATTTTATACGTGACTTGCCATTTACGCGGCAACTCTCCAGACGCGGCAATTATTATTTATGAAGTAAATTCCATCATATACGCGGCAAGCGGCAGGCAAGGTGCTGGGCGCTGACATCAGACTCGTGCTGATGACGTCGCGGACAGTGATTGGGCCACGTATCCTTACCACCCACACACCCCCTCCGCCGCGCACTGTGATTGGTCTATTTAACCTTGCTTGCCCTGCCACCAGGGCTGATGATCTTGGCCGCGCCAGTCTCACTGTCCCCAAATATACTCACTCGTGCCCAGGAACCGGTTTTGTTTTTTTCTTTCTACACAATGGCTTCTGCTGGACCTCCACCACCCCTGAGAAGCCCTGAACTACCTGGCCCAAGGTGGGAGGCAGAGGCAAGTGGTGGCTGGCGACGCTCAGTCTGTTGCTGTGGCATTGGAGAATGCAAGAGGCTGCACACAGTGTTAGAGCTGCAGGCTTCTCCAAGACCACCAACGAGGACATCCTGAAGGTAATCAGGCAACCTGTGGTGACTGCGGACGAGATGTTGGAAGATGATGACGTCAGTGAGCAGCCAGGTGTTACAGAACAACAAGAGCAGAAACCAACACATGCTGATGTGAAGGAGGTCATCGAGTTAGCTGAGAGAATGAAGTTTATCCTTGCCAAAGAGTCAGGTAATCATTGCTATGAAGTGTCGAATAACCATCTGTTGAAATGCCTGGAGCCCTATGTTCAGCTGTATCATGATCACATCGATGCTAGCCGTCAAGAAAGCATCACTGAGTTCTTCACCCGCCAACCACCACAACCAGCCCATGTCAGTGCTAGTGAGGATATGGACTTCGAGGGGTTTGACGAGGAGGCCCTGCTAGCCTCTGTGGTGGATAGAGATACAGGTGAGGGCCAATAATCTGCCCTCTGCCTCGGAACCAAACCCCCCATCTCCGTGTGCCCAGCCATCTCTTCTACTAACGTAAGTGTTAAAAATCCTAATACTATTGATATTTCTCTTAAATATTAATTGTGTGTGCATACCATCATAAAATTAAAATGTTATTTTTACTACAATGTACATATTGTGTCGGCGATAGCCAAAAAAAGGGCAGTCTGGCGGTCGGCCCAGTCTCTATTTCAATTGATCCCATATGTTCTGTTATTTTATTTACGCGTTTCGCTTCATACGCAGACCTCCATGGGTTCAAAACTGATAATATGTTACATAAATTTATTTGTCAGTGGCCCAAGGTTAAAAATGCTTTGAAAACCTTTGATCTTGATGTATGATAGTTATTTTGTGGGTCCCTTTTTTCTGACCTGACCTGTCTAGTCACGTCATCACCCTTCTCTTAAGCTCCTCTACGTGTATGTTGGTGTGGGGATTAGTGGATGTCATCATTATGACCTGACCTCATGTTTTTAGGTCACCCTGTATATTTAAGCCTCTCTCTGTCCATGTAATCCAGTTGCCTCTGAAGATGTCTTGAATAAAGACGAAAGCTAAGGTACTCCGTTGTTTCCATTTTCCCGTGTGATTTTATCAAGATTTATCTTATCCACGTTTTCATTGTGGATTTACATGAAATATATATATATATATATATATATATATATATATATATATATATATATATATATATATATATATATATTATATATATACACACACACACACACACACACACACACACACACACGACGTTCAGCTTCATAATGCAGACCTCCGTGGGTTTAATTAACCGCATAAACCCAAATAAATAAATAATAATATATATATATATATATATATATATATATATATATATATATATATATATATATATATATATATATATATATATATATATATATATATATATATATATATATATATATATACACACAAAATCAATGCCCAGAATCTGGATACACCAGAAAACTTTATATTTTTTTAGAATATTAAGTTCAAAGGCGATAATACGTGCACATTCATAATGTTTTGGAGCCAAGACCACCAGAATCTGGGTATGGTCTGACCAGACATCCACTGATCCATCATGAGCCAAGCCAAACCATTATAAGTGCTTTGTTCACAATCATAAGAGGAATTGCACTACAAGCATAGATTAAATAAAGTCGACAACATTGGATTTACCATAAAAGTGAAGACATTCTGCATACAGTGAACCGACATGAATGGTGAGGATTTTCAGTCTTATTGGGTCAGCAGTGTGGGAACCAAATTTTACCAGGAGGTGTAAATATTAATTCTGGTGCCCTAGATACTCTGTGGTGCAATGTACAGCACCTTATACCCTTCCTTCCCACATCCATGTACTGGATGGAATGAGAGGGGGAGGTTGGTGATGCACACACGAGAGAACTGCCAATGGTCAGCCAAAAAATATCTAACAGCCTCGCAGATAGGTGAATTTCGATCACAAATTTTGAATAAAGGGTCACTAATAATTTTTCGTGAATTTGCAAATATGGAGTTCGCAAATATGGGGAGGTAAGTGTATTGTACTTGCAAACAGTTAAATTTTGATTGGGGCAAAAATCGGAAAGAGCCAATGTTTTTTTGTTTTGTGTTTCCCTCGGGAGGTGTCCCTCATAATTGGTAAAATCTCATAATTCGTAAAGGGCTAGAGCCCCTCTTCCCCTCACTCCTTCTTTACTTTTTTATTACAATATTCAATTTCAATTTTCTTATTCTACAACTTTTCCTAATCTTCTTATTGTTATGTACATCAAGAAAATATCACCTAACAGCAGCAAGTCTTGACATGAGTGTTCCTGGTGTGAAGATCCCGTTGAGCCACTCAGCTTGCCACAGATTAAAACCTGCTAAGATCAATAGTGTTGCCAAAGGGGCATTACCACGAAGAGCAGTCATATGAAGGTAGTCTGGGGTACCAGCTGGAGTTCGATGATTCACACTACACCTAAGAAAAAAATATGACAATCTATTACATGTGAATAGATTTATTACTTTAGAATACAATTCATTATAGTAGTACTCTTTTTCAGATACTGTATATGAATCATCTTTCAGCAGTATTATGTAGTGAATAAATCATACTTCTGAGCAGCTAAGGTATGACAGTTTATGCTACAGAGTTTTATTAGTTAAGTGAAAATAATTTAGAACAATTACAGACATCAGAGAAGTGTATCTAGAGCTAGCAGTAGATGGTTGTCCCAATATTAAGGGAGCCCCGTGATTCCAAAATGTACATGACATCAATGAGATGAAGGTTCATTTGTCCAATTTTGGTGGAATGCAATAAAGTTGTTTCAAAAGAAAAATTAGGAAGCCAAGAGGAAATTAATTAGCATATATTTTGACGGATAAGACGACACTTGAATCATCAAAAAACCACCCCAAAACCAGGGGGTTGTTTTATAGTCCATATAAAAAATTTGAAAAACAAAGTGACCTCAAAATTCCGCACAAATTACCTTAATGATTTGAGTCAGCAAAGGTAGCTGGGGTCATCAATCTTGAAACAGCTGTTGTAGTGTTTACAATGTTTAATTCTTACTAAAATCCATATACCGATATGGTGTTAAACCAATGAAAGCATTGTATAAAAAAAAAATAAATAAAATAAAAATATTACATACATTTAAAATCCATCAAATTCCCTAGCAAAGAACTCGTCATACACATCAAGTGATGAGTCACCACGACACATCGATATATAAACAATACAGTCAATGACCTTAACATACCACTACTGAAGATAGTCTACACATGATATTTACTTTATTATATGCCTCTCTGATAACATAATTAAAATGATTTACTGGTAATACATTAAACATTCAAAGTATTTAATACATTAAACATATCATGGTATTGGTGGTTTGGTGGTCATTGACCTAAACTTTACCATAAGTGGTTTGGTAGTTTGGGGAGTCGTCTTATACCACAGATATGAGCAAAAACCATGAAATTTAGGCCTAGCCTTATCCGAAGGTCGCCTAATCCGCCGTAATATATAGTATAATGCAGTGAACCCTCGAAGATTCAGACCTGATAAATCTGGATTTCAGAAGATTTGGACAAAATATGAGGGTTTTGGGGGCTAAGAAGCATTCCCAAAACAGAGCAAAGATCATCTTAGGCCTGTATAACTAAGATGTGAGTGCACGGGACACAGGTGCCCGAGGTGGGAAACATAAACAGAGTTGTCAATTGTTGTTTGTGGGAATATTACTTCATTCACTCTAGTAATGATACAATGTTTCTTATTATATTATTGTAGGTAAATCCATGGTTTATATAATTTGTTATCACTGTGCCCATCATCATTTTCAAATTAGACTACAAATATGTATTTCTCCCATACGTATTTCGAGAGTACGCCTGGCAACAGGTGCGAGTGAGCGACCACTAGTTAGAGCATTGTCTGCTCTTGTAACTCTCCTCGTTTTCTGCCATATTTCACTGGATTTGTCGTTATTATTAGTGTTTACTGATATAATAGTTCTTAATAATGACATTGTAGCCAGGTTAAACTCGTCACTGTAACCACCAGGCTATTGGTCCAAGCTGTGAGGTGTTATGATTGTTTTTAAACTCGTATTTTCAGGTAGATATGTATATAAATTCTTCATTTATTTTTTACTCAGTTACATGCACACACCATCCTACATACATATTGTGAGAAAACGTAAAAGAAATAATTGTCCAAACGGCAGACACATAGTGGGAGGAAAGCAGAGAGTGTATGGGGTGTGGAGAGTTGCTAGGGAATCAGTCACATACTATGGTCTTTGTTACTATGGTGAAGTAGGGACTATATGCAAATGGCGACTGTGTTAAAGTTTCATTTGGCTTTTATTTATTAATTTGACAATACAGTACAGTATTTTTTGTTCTAACTTATTTATTGATATTATTATTATTTATTCCTCACATTTCTTGGTAATGTATAGATTATTTTAAGAAAACTATAGCCACAGAAGGGTTAACAATTTTGCCACTTACAGTAGCGAGTTTACTGTGCACCCCATATTTATTCTGAGAGTGGTAGCGCAAAAGGATTACAGGGTAGAGTTCACAAATGGCCTATATAACTAACCCCCGTGATCAAGATATTATGGCATTGAATGTTACAGAGTATTTCAAATAAAAATTTTTTTAGTTCTATACATAGAGGGTAACTTATTTGCAACTGCATGAGTACAGGAGTGTGAGGCAGTATGTCCGACTGCACACTTTGTTATTCACATTTGCGTGGCGAGGTATTCAAGCACATTGTGTGTTTGGTTCCATACATGGGAACTCATATAGCTACTACGTGCACAAAAGTGGATACAATCTTAATATGTCAGCTATCTTGCCATTAAAGATAAAGTGTTATGTCATTTCACACACAGTGTGCTTGGACCCGTCCCTAAAAGGTTTTATTTTCACACAGTCAAGGAAATAGTGTTCGAGTGTGTGACCATATGTCTGGCCATACACTTTACATTTTGTCCTGTTCACATCTGCTTGAGGGATATACTGCCAAAGGGACTTATACCTAATTTTAGTCTAGTGGCTACAACATCTTGTAATCTAGTTATCTTGTTACTTGCTCCACATACATGTTTTACTTGATACATCTAATCATGGTAAACTATGGATTGACTAGTGCCTGTTTGCACTGGTCTGCTTGTGTCTAATTCGTCAATAAGTTCCTTCTTAATTTAAGTTTTAAGGGTTCTTTCTGACAGACCCAGATTGTATTCAACAGTGTCTTTGTTAGACGCGAATTTGGCGAGGGCATTAACTCTGTCATGTTCTTTGAGGCCTATGTGAGAGGGGATCCACGAGTTTCATCTTGACACCCCGGTCAACAAGATACAGTACATATATTTGTGTCTGGCTTCAGAGGCAAGAATGTGACAACTTAAGTTGAGGGTATCAAAGGCATGTAGTGTGGATAGAGAATCAAAGAACTGATGAGAATGTCAGTGACAGTAGTTTCAATAAATTTAATAGCTTTGAGTATGGCAACTAATTCAGTTTGTAGAGTGGATGCCCAGTTGTTAATTCTAACTCCTTTTTCAATTGTATTACCATTAGGTTGAGCCACAACGATAGCACTTCCAGCCCTCCCGCAGGCAGTGTTAAGAGATCCATCAGTGTAAATGGTCTGTGTGATATTATCATCGGTTTATAGTGTGTGAATGTGTTCGAGAGCTCTCACTGTGGCAGTGTGTTGGAGATAAATACTTTGTATAATTAAAAGTACACACAAAAGTTTTTTCTTTAGTACTCCCTGCTAAAATGAGGGGTGCGTCTTATATGTTGTAAAATACAGTACGTACAATATAGTCTTGATTTACGCGGCACCTTGCCAGAATGAAAATTTTTAATTACGCGGTTCATTGCATCATTTACGCGGCGAGAGGTCCAGCCGCGCCGTGCTAACTATGATTCAAGCGGTACATTCTTGACCATACGCGGGAAGCGGCAGGGGGAGGGTGTGCAGTATGTCACTGTTGCGTTATCGCTGACGTCATATGACGTATTGGACTGTGATTGGGTCACGCATACTTACCTCCCTCCGCCGCTAGCTATGATTGGTCTAATGCATTATGACGTGAGGGAAGAAGCCACTGACCTAGCGGGGCCAGTCTCATTGTTCTCAGTCTCCGCGTATACTGTTCTCTCTTGTGCCCGCTAATCTGTTCAACAATGGCTTTCGCTGGACCCCCACCACCCCAGAAAAACCTTGAATTACCTGGACCAAGCCGCCCCAAGTCCAAGAAGATACGACGCGCCCTAAGTTATGAAGTAAAATACAAAATCGTCCACGAATCTAAGCAAAAACTGACTTCTTTAACACCCATTCCATTCCATATACAGTACTGTATATGACATGGCTTGACAATAAAAAAATAAAAAAATATATAATATAAAACAAGAAAAATTAAGAGCATGGGTGTGTGTGTGTGTGTGTGTGTGTGTGTGTGTAAGAAGTGAACATGTGTGGAGGTGGTGGGCTATAACTATGTGGCCACGCTCCCTCCCGATGTAACATCATGACATGCAAAGAACGCAGTGCAGCAGCCACCCATCTGAGTCAGCTGGTTGACTGGTTGGCTGAACTGGGTTGTGTCATTCAGAAGATGGTTTGAGCATGGATCTTTTGTTCATAAAATATGTGCTGTATTGAATTTTATGATATGCTATTCATCAATTTTATTGTTTATCATAGCATTTTTTTTTTCATTTTTGACATGCAATTTGAAATTTGTCAAATTAGGCTAATCTTTTGCTCACTAAATCATTTAACTCTTGACAATATTGTGTAAATAGAGTGGAATAAGTATTAAAGAACTGTACAATAAATATGGCATTGGAGTGTAAGTTTAAAACAACAAAGATTTATGTTGCACAATTTGATTTATTTTCTAGCAAATGATTAGCAAATTTTCCTATGTTTTTAATGCTTATTCCGCAAATCCTTACCTTTAAGATATTTGGCCACGATGGGATACCAATTAGCATGAATTTACGAGGTCAACCTATACAAATGGAAAAATGAAAAAGTAATGGTATTGTTAAGAGGTCTCTTCTTACCCTTGTCTTATTAGAAGAGCAGCAGCTTTGTTTTTCTCCAGCAAGAGTGCACGGTACAGAGGTGTGTCTCCTGTAGTTACTGTTTCCACATCTAACCGTGCACCGTGTCTACGAAGAAGAAGAAATACAACCCCAAAATCTGTAAACAGAGCATCACGAGTTCCTTCAACCGCTTCATGGAGAGGAGTTGTGCCAGTGAGACCATTGGGAAAGTTGGTGTTAGCTCCTGAAATGTAGAAGCACAGTAAGTAATCAACTTGTCACAAGTAAAATTCTGTGGTGGAGAACTACAATATAATCTTCATCAACTGTTTATGATGGGACTGTTTCGTCTACAGTGGTCCCTCGGTTAACGAACACAATTCGTTCCAGAAGGTCGTTCGTTAACCAAAAATTTTGTTAACCGAAACCATTGTTTCAATGGGATTTTGGGTAATTGGTTCCAGCTCACCAAAAATTACATACAAACTAAAAATAAATGCAGTAAAGTACACTTACTTTGAGGTGTGCATGTAGAAGGCTCCTGGTTGATGATGATGATGATGATAATGATGATGGGAATTAAAAGTGGTGGAGGAGAAGGGAGAAGAGAAGGAAGTGGGGGTGGAAGAGAAATGACCCCATGCTTCATGCCACCATTTCACCCATAAAAGTTTAAGTTCACTTGGTGTAATTCAAGATTATTTTCTATAAATCAACACTGCACTGCACTATTGCACTATATATTGTCAATATGTAAAATAAATTTCAGAATGATCAATAATTGTACAGTACTGTAAAAACATAAAAATAGTTTATGTTCAAGAGTCTCAAGCAAGATGCTTCCTCCACTGAGCAGAGACACAAACTGACGCCATTATGGGTGAGTCAAGTGGCTGTTTGGCGCGCTAAAAACTAGTTCCCTGTACTTCATTTATGTTAAATAATTGTTAAAATGACTAAAAATTTTAATATAAGACTTGGAAAATTGTTGAATAGTACAACCTTCCTGATATTAACTCAAATGGTAACAAATTTAAGCCCTAAAACCGATTACTGTATTGGCGGACTGATACTCCTGCTGGTGAGCAGGCGAAAGCAGGCGAAAACATGTTGACACGATTTCGTAAGGATTTCGTTTACTGAATTTTTGTTCGTTAATCGAGTTGAAGATTCTTATGGAAGGTAATTTGTTAACCGAAATTTCGTTAACCGAGGCGTTCGTTAACCGAGGGATCACTGTATCTGTTGAGATGTTTTGCCCTTCTGTGAAGAGCTACCTAACTACCAATAAACTCCCTTTAAAGGCTCTTCTCCTTATGGATAATGCTCCTGGTCATGACCCTGAACTTACCAGCACTTTGGAGGCTCGATTTGACTTTGTCAAAGTGTTGTTTTTGCCTCCTAACACTACATCAATTATACAGCCAATGGACCAGAATGTGATCAGCAACTTCAAGAAGCTGTACATGAAGAAAATGTTCAGGTGTTATCAGGCAACTTCCACTGATCCTGAACTAACACTGGCACAGTTCTGGAAGACACAATTTAACATCCTGGAGGCTGTAAAATTGATTGTGTCATCATGGCAAGAAGTCTCCATTAGATCCCTCAATTCTGCATGGAAAGCACTGTGGCCATCAGCAGTCCATGATTTTGAGGGATTTGAGGAAGAAGCGGAGTTGGACAAGGAGATTGTGTCCATTGGTCAGTCAATGGGCCTCGAAGTGGATGATGTGGAAGAGCTTGTTGATGTCTCATGAGCAGGAACTTACTCCTGAAGACTTGCAGCAACTGGATGAGATGTTAGAAGCTGACAGTGGTGAGGAGGATTTGAAAGATGGTGTTCACTACTGGGAGAAGCTCAGGAAACTGGCTTCAAGGCACCTTGATGTGGAAACAACAGAACCTATTTTGTGTAATGTTGAGGACAGAGTGGTTTCCTTCTTCAAAAATCAGTTAATGATGATGAGGAGAAATGCCCTACAAACAAAAATTGACAGTTTCTTCTCTAAAAGGCAGTGGGAGAAAGATGCTACCCCTCAGCCTTCCACTTCATAAAGGAGAGAGGATTTTCCTGCTGGAGAATCTGTGAGTCCAGAGGTTCCTGACATTTTTATGGAAGGTGACTCGCCTTCCAAGAAGCAGTAAAATGCTTCTCCTCCACCCCCACTTCCTTCTCTTCTCCCTTCTCCTCCTCCACCTCCCACTTCAAATTCACATCAGCATCATCAACCAGGAGCCTTCTACATACACACCTTAAAGTAAGTGTACATTACTGCATTTTTTTTTACTTTGTATGTAATTTTCGGTGAACTGGAACCAATTACCCAAAATCTCATTGAAACAATGGATTCGGTTAACGAAATTTTTGGTTAACGAACGACCCTCTGGAACGAATTGTGTTCGTTAACCGAGGGACCACTATATATACAGGTATATATATTGATAAAATCACACAGGGAAGAGGGAAACAATGTAGCACTTTAGCTTTCGTCTTTATTCAAGACAACTTCAGAGGCAACTGAATTACATGGACAGAGCGAGGCCTAAGTACACAGGGTGACCTACCTAAACATGATATCAGGTCATAAACATGACATCCACTAATCCGCACACCAACACCACCACACACGCAAAGGAGCTTAAGAGAAAGGGCGACGTGACTAGTCTAAGTTAAGTCAGGTAAAAAATATGGGACCCACTAATCATCTATCCTACATCTAACTCCAATGCTTTAAAAGCATTTTTAACCTTGAGCCACTAACAAATAAATTTGTGTAACATATCGGTTTTGTACTGACCATCACTAAGGTTTATAGAATTCAAATCCCTAATCAAGCTAGCTTCAACCAGAAGTCTTTCTGTGACACATGATAATTTGGACACTTCTAAGCTGTTTTCCCAATCCATGGGATGATTATTGTTCCTAACATGAACAAACAGTGTTAGGAACTGTATATATACAGTGGTCCCTCGGTTAACGACGGTTCGATTAACGAAATACCTCCCATAAGGATCTTCAATTCGGTTAACGAAAAACACGTTTTGTTGTGAGCATCAGCTGCTCAGCTGATGGGCTAGTCTGGCAATTCAGTAATCTGTTCTATGTTTACATTTGTTTCCAGTGGAGTAAATATCAAGAAAGTTGTGCTCTTTAATATTTTTGCAAATTTTATATTAAAATTATTAGTCATTTTAAAATTTAGTTAACATATTGATAATCTATGCAGTACAGGGAACTAGTTTTTTGTGCGCCCATCAGCCACTTGACTCACCCACCAGGCATCAGTTGGGCATTGTTTACAGTGGAGTGAACATCGATTTTGTTGATGTCTTGAATATTTTTTTTCATTTTTACATTAAAATTATTGGTCATTCTGAAATTTAGTTAACATATTGATAATATATAGCTAAGTGCAGTGTTGATTTAAATAAAATAATCTTGAATTACACCTAGTGAACTTAAAATTTTATTAGTGAAATTACTGCAGCAAGCATGGGTCCCCTGAAAGGTGATTTCTCTTCCATCCCCACTTCCTTCTCTTTTCCCTTCTCCTCCACCCCCACTTCTAATTCCCATCATCATCATCATCAACCAGGAACCTTGTACAAACACACCTCAAAGTAAGTGTACTTTACTGCATTTTTTTTTACTTAGTATGTACTTTTCTGTAAGCTGGAACCAATTACCCAATATCCCATTTAAACAATGGATTCGGTTAACGAACGACTCTGTGGTATGAATTGTGTTCGTTAACCGAGGGACCACTGTACATATATAAAACTACACTGCACTGCACTTAAATGAATTGCACATACCATGCTTTAACAAGAGCTTTATGATTGAGGGTTGGCAGGTGCGGGCAGCAATAATGAGAGGAGTGTCTCCATTGTCGTCTCGGAGATTGACAATGCATCTGGCACCCAACAGGAACTCTGCCAACTGTATAAACAAAATCCTTGTTACTCCTTTAATAATAATAAAAGAAAAATAGGCAAATGTTAAAAGGGGGAAGTACTGTCTAGACTCTAGAAGACTATATGCCAGGGGTGGCCAAACCGTGGCTTGCGAAAATATATTGGCTGAACTCCTTTTTGCCTTATAATCAATATAAAGAGTACTGGCAAATAAGAAAAATGTTTAAGCTTCATATTTATAAATTGTGAAGCCACCTCTTATCCTTGGGGCAGGGGGCCCAGCCTCATGACATGTAGTGTAACACAGGACATTGAACTGTCCAGATCTAAATGGTATGCTCTAGATGTAAGTTGTGTTTACAAACTTTACAGTTCATAAAATTAAGTTGCTTTTAAATACTGTTAAATTTATTTGATAGCAGTGTCTGTGAAAATTTTGTGAAGGGAGATGGTATCATCCAACTGTAAGAAGCAAAAGTATGAAGATGAAAACAGAAATTTTATGCCAGAGTGGGAGGATGATTTCGCAATTACTGTGAAAGGAGGTAAACCTTTGTGCCTTATCTGCAAGGTGTCACTCATTCACTACAAAGCCAGTAACTTCAAACGTCACTCCGAAACAAATCACAAAAACTTTTCGTGTGATCAATCATCAAATCAGAATTACAGAAAAACAAGCTTTGTAAGGTGGCATCTGATTAAAATATCTCTAATTTTATTGGTTTGCTTGTTTTTCTTTTATATTTTCCTCCCAGTTTTGACCAAATGTTTACTAAGACAAATAAATAAAATTAAAAATATTTTATACTGTACAGTATAGTCTGCATTTACGCGGTCAATTGAACCCGTGGAGTACAGCGTAAAACAAGAAACGCGTCAATGAAATAACAGAACACATGGGATTAATTGAAATAGAGACTGGGCCGACCCCAAACTCCACTTTTTCCGACACAATACGTAGGTTGTAGTAAAAATAACATCTTAATTTTATGATGGTATGCACACACAATTAATAATTAAGAGAAATGTCAATAATATTAGGTTTTTTAACACCTCCGTTAGTAGAAAAGCTGGGTCGACACACGTGGATGGCGGCTGGTTCCGAGGCAGAGGGTAGATTAGTTGCCCTCCGGTGAGTCACTTTCACTACCCGCAGAGGTTTCCAGGGCCTCCCAGACAAACCCCTCAAAGTCCATTTCCTGACTGTCAATATCACTATCACTGACTTGGGCTGGCTGTAGTTGTGGTGGGTTGCAGGCGAGGAAGTCCTCAATACAGTCGGCCCTTAACATACCCGGGTTTATAATACACGGATTTGCAAATATGCGGATTGCCCCGCCGGAGGAATATTCTGTACATTGAAGTAATTGAAGTACTACATTCAAATCGCGCGCCATTCAACTCGCGCGCGGCACCGAACACGGGACACCGCCCGCTCCCGCAACCTCACACACACACGCATAGCTCTCCCTCACTCAGTCAGTCTCGCTGTAACCACGCTTGTGTTGACATCAGCATTGTAGTTGCAAAAATATTACATTTCCGTGAATGTATTATATCAAGCACAGTATGAATAGAATATCACTAATGTAAGAGTATTTTAACCGAAAACTACTAAAAAAACGAGTAACATATCTTGAACATCGGAAGGCTAGGTAAAGTCTTTTGTTTTCATGTAGTTTATCCAAATTTACATTGAAATGCATTACGTTTCAGCAAAACTACTATTTATTTCTGAGAATATGGAAATGTAATATTTTGCTGAAATGACGTACGTATTACAGTGGAAAGTGACGAAAGCAATGACTCGCTTTCTTTCGTTCAAAAGATGTTACCGAAATCACTTTTCGAATGGTTTTCAGTTAAAAAACTATTGTATTACAATAATATTCTATCCTAATTCACTTGTGATGCAACAGTTTTTTTAACTGAAAACCATTCGATATTTCTGAACTTTGAGTTTTACAATTCTCTAATAATATATTCTCTCTCCTTCCTTCTATTTTTCCTTTCTGCTTTATTCTTTATTCTTTTACAGTGTTATTCTCAAAGTAAGCAAAATTTACTTGTGTCCGGGCCTGAACATTATGAGTATGTAGCCAATTTCTCAAATTGAAGAACATTGATCAATGATAATAACGAGTTAGAAGAATGTGTACGACATGTCCAAACAATGTTTCACATTGTTTACCTTTTCCATTGATAGTTTTGTTTACCTGAAAGTGTCTATGAAGAACAGCATAGTGAAGCAGGTAGTGTGACTGGGTGACTTTGGCTCCAGCTCCAAGAAGCATCTGGACCAACTTGATGTCCTTGTGCCATACTGCCTCACACAATGGAGTATATCCTGGACAAACAAAACATGCTTATGTATGTGAAAGTAGTAAAAAAAAGAGTGTGTTGTACTGTGTGGGTGTGTGTGTTTGCATTAAAAGTTGTAAAGTCTCCTTCTGTAATATGCCAGTCCCACATGTGTATGTAACTCATACAAATTAAAAAAGACATTACTTATACTATATACAGTATACCTAAATAAATAAATAAAAACTAGAGCGCTCTGAGCCAAATAACTTTATGAAGCAACAAAAGGTGGAAAATAAAAATTAACTGAAAATCAGGCAATTAAAAAATTTAATGTCTTAATAGCACCTGTATGTAAAGAACTGTATATCTGAATTACAATGGATATACTGTATACAGTATATTTTACACCTCAATAGTAAATTGTACTGCAATCAAATTTGTACATCCAACTGTTATCATTAGTAGAAGCTTGTGACTGAGTACTGTACCATGAATCTCCTCAATGTTGACTTTAGCCCCTCTCTTGAGAAGTAGTTGAACGACCTTGTAGTTTGAGCGTGAAACAGCAACAATGAGTGCAGTACGGTCAGAGCTGTCCAAAGAATCAATCTTTGCACCACGGTCCAGCAAGGTCTCCACAATATCCGTATAACCTCTTGAGGCTGCTATGTGTAGAGGGGAACTCTGAGGATGTACAAAGAGAAGAGCTTATTTCACCCAAGTTATCTAAACTTACATTTCTTTAATACTGTACTGTCCAGTATATGAAGAAAAAAATAATAATATTTGGGTGAAATTTGGTAATGAAATCTCCTGAGGGAGAAGATAATGTGACTTGAAAAGGTGCCAAAATAATATAAATCTAAAATCTAAAAATATTTTTTTTAGAAAGCACAATGTTTTTCTCCAACTAACATATCCGGTACATGCATTCTCATTCACCAGCTCCCACCCATGTGCACTCACACATACATGCACACAAGTACTCACACACTGCTACAAATATGTCTGTATGCACATATAACATTCAAAACACAAAGTATTAATATATATATTTTTTTATTATAGGGATTAGCCCACCCGGGACAAAGGTCTCGGACCCACATTAGGGCCTGGGGGGTAATAATAATAATAATAATTCATATTAAATAAAAAATTTAATAAAAATACAAATTAAAAATAAAATAATAATGATGATGATGATAATAATAATAATAATAACAGCACTAATAACAATAATAATGATAATAATAAAGAACCATAAAGAAAATTTAAAAATGAAAAAAATTAATCGTGAGAAACAATATACAGGTTGTATCTCTCTAGTCCGGTATTCTGTGGTCCGGAAACTCCCTTGGTCCGGAACGATTTTAGTTGGTCCAATAGGTAGATAGGCAGCTTTTTTTTTCTTTTTTTTTCCCTTATCTGAATTATTATTATTATTAGAGGAGCATTAAATTTTTGCCCCTCAGGCCCCAATGTGGGTCAGTCACCTATGCCCGGGTGGGCTAATCCCCTTAAAAAAAAAAAAAAGCCGCGGGAAATTAAGGTTTGTTTACATCCGGCAGTTCGGCTGCTCTCTCTCTCTCTCTCTCTCCTTGTCTATACAGAGTACAACATTTAATCCTTAAATATATATGAACAGTAAATAAGTGTTGCTTTCATATTCTTATGTAGAGTAATGACGATATATTTTCACATGTGCGCACTTACATACGCGCAGTCTCACTTTTTTTTACCATTAATGGTTAGCTACTTATATTGTTCCATTTATTAACATTAAATAACATTACAGGTACTTCAAGCAACCATATTCATTTTTTACATTAATTTTACTACAGCTAAACTCAGGGTCTTATTTTCTTCAGTTTTATATGTAGAACCAATCAGTCACTGGTTTCGTAAGCTTTAACATAAACAATGCCGGCAGCCGTCTCGTCTCCTCTAATATTCCACGTATTATTAATAAATTGTATTGTTAATTTTGCACACACGTACATTAATTCAATAAAAACAAATTCAGAAACATTAATTAAAATATATATGAACAGTAAATAAGTGTTGCTTTCATATTCTTATGTAAAGTAATGACGATATGTTTTCACGTGTGCGCATGCGCACTTACATATGCGATCTCTCTTTTTCTTTACCATTATCGTTAGCTACTTCTATTGTTCCATTTATTAACATTAAATAACATTACTTAAAACAACCATATCAATTTTACTACAGCTACAACCAAGGTCTTATTTTCTTCAGTTTTATATGTAGAACCAGTCAGTCACTGGTTTTGTAATCAACGAAAATAATGCTGTGTCATTTCCTCGTGTGTTTTAATTTTCTATGTATTATTAATGAATTGTATTGCTCATTTTGCACACATAAACATTAATTCAATAAAAAAGACATTCAGTAATAAACAATAATGAATCTTTTGTACATAAGAGAAATGACACTGTTTACACGATTATGCACGTCGTCTGCACGTTGGCGGGCCGTTCAAACCCGTCGAAATTCAAGTTTCCGCCGTCAAAATTTTTATTTATTTATTTTTTTGCGTGTTCCAATAAAATACGTTAAGAATTAAAAACTCGCGAAATTTGAGAAGCTACTATACGACAATTAACCCTTCAATATGTCTTCAAAGAGACCATGACGCAGAGAAAGTGATGCTAGTGCTTCCAGGCATAAGCACAAGTCACATCTATCTAGGAAAAGGGTGAATTTCCATGGTCCGGCAATTTCCATGGTCCGGCACCGGTCAGGTCTCGAGGTTGCCGGACTAGAGAGGTACAACCTGTATATATATATTGGTAATTCTGCAAAATAACTTACAAACAGACACCCACTTTCTTTCTTTTCTTTATAAAGTGGGACATCTGCAATGAATATTCAAAAACAGATGCAAAAGAGAAATTACCTTATCATTCATTTTTGTGTTGACTTTTGCTCCACCTTCCAACAACAATGTGATGACCTCTGCTAATCCTCGTTGAGCTGCAAGGTGAAGGGAAGTCATGTGCTCTGCATCTGGGGTGTCTACGCGAACTCCTTTGAAGAAAGAAACAAAGAAAAACTCACATTTGGTACGTCCAATTTTTATGCCAACTTCAAAGGTTTTATCATTTGACTGAAGTCTAACACTATTCAGTAAAAAAAAAAAAAAAAAAAAAAAATTTATATATATATATACAGTTAACCCTCACTTTACGAGGTCCCACATTCCGCGTTTCCACGTTTACGCGGTGCCCTGCCGGAACCCAGGATGCTCACATTCCGCGGTGCGTGTACCCCTTTACGCGGAGAGCGGCTGGCGAGCCGGGCCATTTTTGGATCCAAACCTCCCGCCATCCGCCATGTTGTGTAAGCTGCGCGAACATAGTGCGCACAAGGTCGCCCAGTCATCAAAACATTACCAGTTCTTCACCCCCCACCCACCACAGCCGGCCCAAGTCAGTGATAGTGATAATTATGGTGAGGATATGGACTTATATGGACTTTGGGGAGTTTGACAAAGAGGCCCTGCAAGCCTCTATGGTGGATAGTGATACAATTGATACAAGTGACACAGGTGAGGGCCAATAATCTGCCCTCTGCCTCGGAACCAACCGCCCATCCCCGTGTGCCCAGCCATTTTTTCTACTAATGTAAGTGTTAAAAAACCTAATATTATTGATATTTCTCTTAATTATTAATTGTGTGTGCATGCCATCATAAAGTTAAGATAATATTTTTACCACAACATAGTTGTGTGTCGTCAAAAAGTGGAGTTTGGGGATCGGCCCGGACTCCATTTCAATTAATCCCATATGTTATGTTATTCACTTTACGCGTTTCTCACTTTCCGCGGTACCCTCCGGGTTACATTAACCACGTAAAGTGAGGGTTAACTGTGTGTGTGTGTGTGTGTGTGTGTGTGTGTGTGTATATATATATATATATATATATATATATATATATATATATATATATATATATATATATATATATATATATATATATATATATATATATATATATATATATATAATATATATATATATATATATATATATATATATATATATATATATATATATATATATATATATTATATATATATATATATATATATATATATGTTACAGTTTACCCTCGCAGTTTCATAAGCGTTTTGCATATCATGCCTTGCCAAAGCTGAACTTTCACTTAACGCAGATTTTTTCCACATATACGCGGTGAGTGTCCGAGACGCTATTTTTAGATTTGCCCCACCCGCCACCCTGCCTGACTGCCTGTTTTAGCTCATAAAATTCATACAAATTACCAGGCCAGAATATAATTTACATTGCTGGAATTCTTATAATTTGGTGATCATTTTGAATATAAACATCATATATTTTGCTTTAAACTTACAATTTTTAGATAAAAATTTTCTCTAGGTCTAGGTATATATGGTATCTTTTGTGCAAAATATATGACATTTATATTCAAAATATTCCTGGTCTTACAAGGAATCCAGCAATGTCAATTATATTATCCTAACTTTAGTTTGAGGTATTATTTATTAAAATTTAGTGGTTATCCCACACATCTCCTTGGGACGGTTGGTGGGGGGTGGGGGGGAGGGAGGGACCGACCGACCATCTGTTACCCCGTGAAGAATTATTATTTTTTTTATTAACTGAAGATATTTGTTTTAGCTTATAAAATTCATACAAATTACCCGGTCAGAATATAATTTACATTGCTGGAATTCTTATAATTTGGTGATCATTTTGAATATAAACATCATATATTTTGCTTTAAACTTACAATTTTTAGATAAAATTTTTTCTCTAGGTAACTATGGTATCTTTTGTGCAAAATATATGACATTTATATTCAAAATATTCCTGGTCTTACAAGGAATCCAGCAATGTCAATTATATTATCCTAACTTTAATCTGAGGTATTATTTAATACTAAATGTTAAAAACTCTGGAAGGGAGGATTGGTGGGGGGTGGGGGGGAGGGTTGGGACTGACCGTGCGGTTGGAAGAGGGGGGGAGGCAAGGTGGGGTACTTTGATTGACAGATAGTGTCGTGAAGATTATTTTTTTTATTATTAACTGAAGATATTTGTTTTAGCTCATAAAATTCATACAAATTACCCGGTCAGAATATAATTTACATTGCTGGAATTCTTATAATTTGGTGATCATTTTGAATATAAACATCATATATTTTGCATTAAACATACAAATTTTAGATAAAATTTTTTCTCTAGGTAACTATGTTATCTTTTGTGCAAAATATATGACATTTATATTCAAAATATTCCTGGTCTTACAAGGAATCCAGCAATGTCAATTGTATTATCCTAACTTTAGTTTGAGGTATTATTTATTAAAATTTAGTGGTTTTCCCCCAAAAATTTCTCTGAGAGGGAAGAGCCGGCAGTGTAGTGTGAGAGGGAGTCGAGTCCATTATTTGAATGGACATTAACTTGGCGACTGTATTTCTCTATTTCTCTTAAGTATTAATTGTGTGCATGTACCATCATAAAATTAAGATGTTATTTTTACTACAACATAGGTATGTGCCTTCAAAAAGTGGAGTTTGGGGGTCGGGCCGGTTTCTATTGGAATTAATCCCATATGTTCTGTTGTTCACTTAACGCGGATTTCACTTAACGCGGGACCCTCTGGGTTCAATTGACCGCGTTAAGTAGGGTACAACTGTATATATATATACACACACACACACACACACACACACATACAGTGGTCCCTCGGTCAACGAGCGCCTTGGTTAACAAGATTTCGGTTAATGATTTACCTTCCATAAGATTCTTAACTTCGGTTAACGAGCAATCCCTCAATTAATGAGTTTCTTACGAGCCGACCTGAACATGTTTTCGCTTGCATTTGGCGGTCCATCAGCTGTAGTATTAGTCCGCCAATACAGTATTCGGTTCTAGGGCTTAAATTCCTTACCATTTTAGCAAATATCAAGAAGTTTATACTATTCAATAACTTTAAAAGTTTAATATTAAATTTTTAAGTCATTTTAATAATTATTGAACATAATTTAAGGTAATGAAACTAGTTTTATGCGCGCCATCCAGACTCTCAACACACCATACAGGCGTCAGTCTTTGTGTCTTTTCAGTGGAGGTAACATCTTGCTTGAGACTCTCTTCAACTAAACGCTTTTTTCTGTGTTTCCAAGCAAATTATTGGTCATTTTGAAATTTATTTTACATATTGACAATATATAATGCAGTGCAGTGTTGATTTAAAGAAAATAATCTTGAATTACACCAAGAGAACTAAAATTTTATGGGTGAAATGGCACCATGGGTGACTTCTCTTCCACCCCAATGCCTTCTCTTCTCCCTTCTCCTCCAACCCCATTCTAATTCCCATCATCATCATCATCCAGGAGCCTTCTACATACACACCTCAAAGTAAGTGTACTTTTCTACCTTTTATGTTGAATTTAGGCAATTTTCGGTGAGCTGGAAGCAATTACCCAAAAACCCATGGAAACAATTTTTTCGGCTAACGAGTAACCTTCTAGAAGGGATTGTGCTCGTTAACCGAGGGACCAATATATATATATAAATATATATATATATATATATATATATATATATATATATATATATATATATATATATATATATATATATATATATATAAATATATATATATATATAATATATATATATATATATATATATATATATATATATATATATATATATATATATATATATATATATATATATAGACACACACACACACACACACACACACACACACACACACACACACACACACACAGTATTACCCCGCCTAACGCGGTTTCACTTAACGCGTTTTTTCATATACGCGGTGCCTCGCCAGAGCTGAACTTTCACTTAACACGGATTTTTTCCACATATACGCGGTGAGTGTCCGCCTCGAGACGCTATTTTTAGATTTGCCCCACCCGCCACCCTGCCTGACTGCCTGTTTTAGCTCATAAAATTCATACAAATTACCCGGCCAGAATATAATTTACATTGCTGGAATTCTTATAATTTGGTGATCATTTTGAATATAAACATCATATATTTTGCATTAGACATACAAATTTTAGATATAATGTTTACTCTTGAGTAAATATGTTACCTTTTGTGCAAAATATATGACATTTATATTCAAAATATTCCTGGTCATACAAGGAATCCAGCAATGTCAATTATATTATCCTAACTTTAGTTTGAGGTATTATTTATTACCAAAGTTAAATATTCTGGTTTTCCCACACATCTCCTTGGGACGGTTGGTGGGGGGTGGGGGGGTGGGGGGGAGGGAGGGACCGACCGACCATCTGTTACCCTGTGAAGAATATTTTTTTTTTTTATTAACTGAAGATATTTGTTTTAGCTCATAAAATTCATACAAATTACCCGGTCAGAATATAATTTACATTGCTGGAATTCTTATAATTTGATGATCATTTTGAATATAAACATATATTTTGCATTAGACATACAAATTTTAGATAAAATGTTTTCTCTGAGTAGATATGTTCTCTTTTGTGCAAAATATGACATTTATATTCAAAATATTCCTGGTCTTACAAGGAATCCAGCAATGTCAATTATATTATCCTAACTTTAATCTGAGGTATTATTTAATACAAAATGTTAAAATTTATTTTTTTCACCCACTCTTCTCTTGAAGGGAGGATTGGTGGGGGGTGGGGGGGAGGGTTGGGACTGACCGCGAGGTTGGAAGAGGGGGGGAGGCAAGGTGGGGTACTTTGATTGACAGATAGTGTCGTGAAGAATATTTTTTTTTTATTAACTGAAGATATTTGTTTTAGCTCATAAAATTCATACAAATTACCCGGTCAGAATATAATTTACATTGTTGGAATTCTTATAATTTGATGATCATTTTGAATATAAACATCATATATTTTGCATTAGACATACAAATTTTAGATAAAATGTTTTCTCTGAGTAAAAATGTTATCTTTTGTGCAAAATATGACATTAATATTCAAAATATTCCTGGTCTTACAAGGAATCCAGCAATGTCAATTGTATTATCCTAACTTTAGTTTGAGGTATTGTTTATTAAAATTTAGTGGTTTCCCCCAAAAATTTCTCAGAGAGGGAAGAGCCAGCAGTGTAGTGTGAGAAGAGGGGGAGGGGGTCGAGTCCATTATCTGAATGGACATTAACTTGGCGACTGTATTTCTCTATTTCTCTTAAGTATTAATTGTGTGCATGTACCATCATAAAATTAAGATGTTATTTTTACTACAACATAGTTATGTGTCTTCAAAAAGTGGAGTTTGGGGGTCGGGCTGGTTTCTATTGGAATTAATCCCATATGTTCTGTTGTTCACTTAACGCGGATTTCACTTAACGCGGGACCCTCTGGGTTCTATTGACCGCGTTAAGTGGGGTACAACTGTGTGTGTATATGTATATATATATATATATATATATATATATATATATATATATATATATATATATATATATATATATATATATATATATATATATATATATATATATATATATATATATATATATATATATATATATATATATATATATATATATATATATATATATATATATATATATATATATATATATATATATATATATATATATATATATATATATATATATATATATATATATATATATATATATAATAAGGTTTTGCATTACTCTTATCAATAAATATTCCAGGAATCCAGTTTAAGATATTTCTGCTCTTTAATATTTTTGCATTTTTTGTATTAAAATTATTAGTCATTTTAAAATTTAGTTTACATATTCATAATATATGCAGTACAGGAACTAGTCTTTTGTGCGCCCATCAGCCGCTTGACTCAGCCACCAGGCGTCAGTTTGGCTTTGTTGACAGTGGAGTGAACATCGATTTTGTTGGTGTCTTGAATATATTTGCATTTTTACATTGAAATTATTGGTCATTCTGAAATTTAGTTAACAAATTGATAATATATAGCGCAGTGCAGTGTTGATTTAAATAAAACAATCTTGAATTACACCTATTGAACTTAAAATTTTATTGGCGAAATGACGGCATCAAGCATGGGTCCCCTGAAAGGTGATTTCTCCTCCATACCCACTTCCTTCTCTTCTCCCTTCTCCTCCACCCTCACTTCTAATTCCCATCATCATCAACAACCAGGAACCTTCTACATACACACCTCAAAGTAAGTGTACTTTACTGCATTTTTTTTTTACTTTGTATATACTCTTCTGTGAGCTGGAACCTAATTGGTTCCATTGAAACAATGGATTCGGTTTACGAAATTTTCAGTTAACGAACGACTCTGTGGAACGAATTGTGTTCGTTGACCGAGGGACCACTGTAGTACTATATCTACGAATTATGTGAACATATAAATATAAATAATTTTTTTAAGGTTAATTTTGGACTCCACATCATCCCTTATAACTTCACTGTTTAACTCACTTGATTTTATTAAACAGAAAAGTTATGATAATTGTCAAGGAAGAATGAAGGCAGTAGAGTGTAGTAAAGCCAGCCACACTACGTCCTTGTCCACCTAAAGCTTAATATACAGTGTGCTGTATCCACACCATTCCTACAAGGCCCATTATCAAAATCATAAAACTTCATACTGTAATACAGGTATTAAAAAAAAAAAAAATTATGCCTTTTCTTTCTATTCCTTAAACTAGAAAAGTGCCATACCAATCATGTTCCATGACTGACTTTCAGGTCACAGTTTTTCAAGACTTTTTCAGGTCTTTCTTGGCCTATGTGGACCTTGCATACACTAAGTTTATCAAAAACCTTGTGTGAAGCATGTTTTGTTTCCAATGAAATTTGCAACTTTTGTGTGGTTGGTGAGTAGAACAGTACAGTGGTCTCTCGGTTAACGAACTCGATTTGTTCCAGAGGGTCGTTCGTTAACCGAATCCATTATTTCAATGGGATATTGGGTAATTGGTTCCAGCTCACAGAAAAGTACATACAAAGTAAAGCCAAAAATGCATAAAGTCAGAAACACTCCTAAAGTTCCCCTAAATCGCCCTTAAATCACTACAGCTCCTCCCCGACTTTCGACCACCCGCACTTACGACCTGCCTCAGTCGTACCAAAATTTGGTAAAATTACGTATTTTCGAGTCCCAGTCGGTACACAGACAAAATTTTCCTTTGTAATTCACTTTAAAATGGCTGGCAAGCTTTAAAGTGAGTCTTTGTGGTGCTGAGAAGAAAAAGAGACACCCATTTTCGATTTTCTATGTACCTGTATTATTTAAGCATTTCCAACTTACGACCTGGATTTGGGTCCCTAACCCCGTCGTAAGTCGGGGAGGAGCTGTATGTGTGTGTGTGTGTGTGTATATATATATATATATATATACACACACACACACACACACACATATATACACACACATACACACATATACATATGATACACAGGCAGTTTAATCTTTTATCTCTTATGCAAAATTTATGATTGCTATATTCAAATTATTGTGTGTTGCAAAGGATTCCATAACAAATTATATTCTCCTAACTTTGGTCTGGAGATATTATATAAGATAAAAACTGCAAGCCTAAAACCTTGCCTGGGAGGGAGGAGGAGGGAGGGAGGGAGGGGAGCGAGCTAAAGGATATGTTTGGCAGTTTGAGCCGAAGGTTTCCTGTGTGTTTATTTAACAGTCCTACTAAGCTTCTCTCATTTTAAAATGCCAGTGAAATGACCGGGGAGAATATAATTTACATTGCTGGAATTCTTATAAGATAGTGATTAAATTGAATATAAACAATCTATAATTTGCATTAGACATACAAATTTTAGATCTAATTTAAGAATTTTATTACAGAGCAAAAATTTTATCTCTTGTGCAAAATATATGACGTTTATATTCAAATTATTCGCTGTTTTGCAAGGATTCCAGCAATGCAAATTATATTCTCCCAACTTTAGTCTGTGATATTATATAAGATACAAACTTAAAGCCTACTGTATAACCAGAAACCTTCGCTGGGAGGAGAGGGGGGGGTTGGGAGGGAAGGGGGGGTGACAGTGACATGTTTGACAGTTAGCGCTGAAGGTCTGGTGAAGTATTTAATTTGTTTATTTATGTCGTTAAGTTGAGTTTTTGTTTTTTGCTCATAAAATTGCATAGAAGTGACCGGGGAGAATATAATTTACATTGCTGGAATTCTTATAAGATAGTGATTAATTTAAATGTAAACATGCCATAGTTTGCACTAGACAAAAATTTTAGTAATCATTTTGTACATTATTTTGATTACATGTACAGTTCAGCTTTGCCCTTAGGACAGTGTGTGCATGTAAATGAGTTTCAATAAATGAATAAAGTTACATATATTGAGCCAAAAATAATAGTTGAAAAACTTTATGTAGACAGAGCTTGGATAGCTAAATTTTAGAATGACCAATAACTTTAATACTGTATAAAAAAAAGGCACAAATATTAAAGTGCAAAATTTTCTTTATATTTACTCCATTGGAAACGAATGTAAACATAGAAGAGATAACTGAATTGTCTGAGTACTTCCTCAGCTTATCAGCTGATGTTCAAAACAAAACTTGATTTTCGTAAGGATTTCGTTAATCAAATTTTTTTTCGTTAACCGAATTGAAGATTCTTATGGAAGAAAATTCGTTAACCGAAATTTCGTTAACCGAGGCGTTCGTTAACCGAGGGACCACTGTATTTAGTAAAAATAAATTTCTGAGAGAGGTACTCTTGATACCTGCATCCTGGTTTAAAAATTATGAACCACTCTTGGAAGGCTTGTGGAAATTTAGTTCTTGTGATATGAGAATTAAATACAGGGCTGTATTGAGATGCAGAAAGTCGTTCTTATCAGCTAATCTTCAGTGGAAAGAAAGTACCAGTCAAGAGTTAGAAGGTAGGCTGCACCTCTGAAAAATTTGGTGGCTAGGTATGTAGGTGTGAATATGATGTTAAGCATGCACTAACTTGGATATCCAACCCACATTCAAAGACTAAATCTTGTTTGTGGGTTTGATTTCCCAAATTGAGACAACATTACACTGTATACTATGAACATCTTTGAATGCCGATTCATCCACTTCCAGGTCTTTCCCATTTCTTTGCTTCCTGGAGTGGAAATCCTCTAACCGGGAGCTTTTGTAGGCATACTGTATATGGGGTCATGAATAAACCAACAGCTATTGAGGAAGAAAAAAGAAATAAATAAATAAAAACAAAAAAAACTTACCTGATTTAATAAGCATATGAACAATATATGTATGGCCTTGTTCAGTGGCATAGTGCAGTGCTGACCTCCCATATACATCCTGCTGATTGATATCACAGCTACGGTTTAGTGACCATGGAGACGTCAAGCCGAGTGACAAATATTCTGAGTGAAGTTGAGCCAACCAGGGACTTGATCGATGTGAGTTAACGAATGTTTTATGGCGACCTGTGCAGTATAAAAATATTAATCATAAATCTCCTGCTTAAAGTAGTACAGTAAAGTAAGGATCTCTGGAACACATAATAAAGTAAGGTTTTGATGTTATAATAATATTTGTATTCACTGGCCTAAAGTAACAATGTACACTTGCTTCTTTCTAGTCTGGTTAAAAGGAACGTCTGGCTTAGGAATAGGTGCTTTTAATTTTGGTAGATTGTTATGATATTCCTATCAACAATCAAGGATCACATGTATATCAATTCTAGCCCCCTAAATCCCTTATACCCTTTCATTTTTTCAGGGCAGTATTTTTCCATTACAGTACTATTTTATCCCTTGCCTTGAAATCGATACTGCTATGAGATCTATTATTGTCCTTGAACATTACCCAACAATATGTCTGTTTAGGTATATGAATTTTTCAATCTCGGTAGCAATTTTCATAAAAATATTGAGAAAATATTTAACCGAAAATAACTCCTAAAAAATAGAAGAAATTGGAAGATGTAATTACATTAAGGAAGGTTCTTCCGTGTTGTTTTTCTTTCATTGGAATTGGTCAAAAACTGGTTGAAAAATTCCAATCTAAGCGTTGGAAAAGTTAATTTTTAGATACAAGTTGATATAGTGTGTTGCAGAGGATTACAGATCTCCTCTCTTTGACAAGCTGAGTTATAAAAAGGTACTGGACTTTGTTACTTAAGTAAAAGTATTGTTACATTGGCAAAATGTTACTCAAGTAGAAGTAAAAGTATCCAAATGTCAATGTACTCAAGTAGAGGTAAAAAAGTATCTCATTCTTAAATTACTCAAGTACTGAAAGTAAAAGTACAAAAAAATTATTATGCTTCAAATGTGAAAATAAACCCACAGTAAATTATAAAAAAATAGTTAACTAAAGATAAAAATAAAAGACACATCATTACACATGTTTATTTTCAAACCTTTCTATTAAGATTAATCAATAACTGATTCTCAAAATAATGGTTATACAATCAGGTTCTTTTAGGCCTAAATATAAGCCCAGCATGACCTACCAAAAGAGAATACGTCCAGTCACTCTTCTCCCTACAATCACTTTCTTCCTTATCCACACAAGTATCGTCAACGTGGACTTATGGTCTGCATAGATAATGTTGTTTCTGCTCGCATTAGGTAAGGAGACCTATCTGCCACGTATCTGAGGTGGGGTATGACCTGCACTTCTCTTCCTGTAAACTCTGTAACTGTACCAATGCTAGCATCCTTCAACACTATTGCCTTGACTGTCCCACTTTCAGGGACCTCCTGCCACAGGGAGTCATTTATTCATAATAATTTAATTTAATTCTTGTACGCTACCCAGGCTTTGGTGGGTGCTAACTCCCATTGTCCTTAAATCATATCATTATTGTCTCCATATCACAAGTCATAGTGTGTCCTGCGAAACACGAGTAATAGTGTATTAGTGTCTGACCGCGTGGACTTGTGACTCAGCTTGTCGCCCCCTAGGGTGTAATGAATTAATTAAATATTAAATAATAAGCCCAGCATGACTAAACAGACACTCACAAGCAGCAGATGCAGGTTGTGGGGTGTTAGGCTTGTGTAATGATTGATTGTCAGACCAAAGCTTACAGCCCAGAATTATGTCGCATATAACAACAAGTACACTACAGACCTCGTGGTACCACCACATTCCGGGTTGACACACCTCAGGTCGACCCTAGGGACTTGACCTCGCCCGCTAATGATGTGAGTTAGCCGGGTGACCTACAACCGCACCTAACCAAGACACCTGGGCAGGACCACACCTGCACACAGCTATCCAGATCAAACCAGTTTAGTGATAATTGGTTAGAGGTCAGAAGCCGGCTGGGCCGACCCCATATAAAGGCCCTACAGTCCCGTCCACGAGGATTATCATTCTGATTCTGGTTGCCATTCGAACATTACTCCGGAGATTCTCAGAGTCACGCTTGTTCTCTCCCCTGGTCGGGAGTGGGACTTCCCGACCAGACCCCAGCTAAGCAGAAGCCTCCCATAGGAGGCAGCCCAGCCAAGCATCCACTGGGCCTACGTCAGGGTACACGTGAGTCTTGTCAGAACGATTTCTAGGGTGTGTTACCTACTGTGGGAAGTGTATTTATTCAGGTGTGTCCGAGAGTCAGTGTCGAGTAACGTAAAACATAATGTGTTAGTACCCCGATATAATAGTGATATTAATGTGTCCATGTCATTGAGTGAATTAATAAATAGTTGTATAGAAGAGGTCTTTAACAAGTTGTCCCTTTAAGAAGTGATATATGTGTATTGACATAAGAGATAAGATAAGCGTATTGACGCTGAGTAAATAACATCCAGGCCAGGCTACCAAGTTTCCTATCTTTACATTCCTACTCTCTATACTTCTCCTACTTATATGTAATCTTCTCCTCTCATTGTGTATTGTCTCATTATATTGGTGGCAGCAAACTATAACGTTAACCCACGCCCTCCTCGTCCCTTGTTATTGGTAACAGTGTACTTAAAGTAAACCCGTGCCCTCCCCCGTTAGCCATAACACCTGGCTCGTTAGTTCAAAGGTGCGTGATAAGGAGTTCCTGCATAGTAGCGTGAAAAGTGTCCTAGTGTGTCACCGTTACAGCTCAAGTAAATGTCTCTTGTCGTGGTATGCGTGATTTTTTTACTAGCAATTTGTTCAGTGCTTGACATGATTTCTCAGTGTGTTTCAGTGATGAAAGCGGTGTCTGGTACTAACTGTTATAACTTAACATGTCTTGCAACCTACATCCTCCTCCCTGTCCTAAATCCTCACCTCACCTCCTTACCCTTCCTCCCATCTCCTGCCCTCACCAAGAAAGCCCGGCCTGGCCCGACCAACCACGCCGGCTCCTCCCCACCTCTTCACCAACGCACCAGCCTGGCTTGGCCTGGCCAGCCTCGCCTCGCCCAGCGCCGCCCCGCCCCGCCCCACCCCGCTCATGTGACCTCACGTCCTTCTGACCCGCCCCGCCTCGCTTGACCACACTAATTCCCCGTCTTTTGTCCCGTAAGCTATATGTTGATGATGATGGTTAATATAAAGTAATATTGAGATGAATGCAGAGCTTCACTCAGTGTATTTTTATGCTATTATGATTTGTGATGTACTCGTTGACGCGTAGTGATAAATGATATTCAGTGTAGTGCGCAGAGGTCCTCTCCCCGACCCAGCCTGATGAGAACATTGTCGTGACGGAAATAATAGTTGCCAAACATTGACGTAACGTATAAAGTAAAAAAAATTTTTGCGAATGCACTTCCAACTAATCCATCATCCCTTTAGGATTGTTTCTCTGTCAAATGTCACACACCGGTGGCTAAGTCAAGCCGCCAACCACAGTACATAATGGTAGCAGAGAAGAAGCAGAAGAAGCAAAGGAAGAAGAAGGGTGATGGGATGAATGCAGCCTAACCCACCACACACCACGCCACTTTTTCAAGTCCTCCTTTATTCAGGATTAAGAAGATTTATATTTTTCACTTTAGGAAGTTAAGAGTGTGAATGCAGCACCAATATCAACTAATCCTGGTGAGCCCAGCCAGGAGAGATTCATCAACAGTGGGAAGGTAAGACAGACGTCTTTGGTCTCGACACTCTCTCACGACGGAGGGCGCAGCCCTGAACTGGCTGAACCTGCCTTATTTAGCCATCTAAGGAGATTGTCTAGTTAGTGTGATTCCGCCTTCATCCTGGCCGGAGGGGGCCGATGGCAGATGAACAGAAAATCGTCTGGAATATGTTGAAAATGATGATGTACTGAGAAAAAAGGAAGATGGAACAGAAAATTCATCTAGAAGATGTTGAAAATGAGGCTCTAAAAGTAGAGGAAGAACGCAGATGGGACAGAAAACTCGTCTGGAATAGTATAAAAACCAGGAGGAAGTGAGAAGAAGTCAGAAGGTGTGGAGAAACGACCTACAAGGTGCGGTATTGAAGAAAGAAAAACGTGCTATGTGAAGTAACAAGGCAGAAGACGTGTATTGAAGAAAGAAGACAGAAGATGTGCTGCGCTGACATAAGAAGAAAGACGACGATGAAGAGGTGACCAACCCACTACAGCTGCTGTATTGCAGGCATCCCCTATTTTTCAGATACCAGCTGCATGTAAGACGTGAGCTATGCCGGACCCAACTAATGTACTGATGTTGTTGATGTTGTCGATGTGTAATACCCTAATATGTGAAGTAGGAACATTTTTTGTGTATTTTGAAGTATTTTCTCTGATTTTTGTTGATGTTTACTACAAAGAATGTCTTTTTTTAGTCTCACTTTTTTCTATGAGTTCATTTGATCAATGTTTTGGACTATGGAACACGATGTTGTAGCCATATTACTGACTGAGATGAATTATTATTTTGACATGGGCTGATAAGGAGATGTAACACCTGTTGTTGTTTTGATTTGCAAGTTGTCTCGGATACAAATCTAGATATGAAGGATTTTCTCATTCTATGTTCACTTGCTATGTTTCCTTTTTCTCCTAGCATAGAAGCTTTGATCTTGGCGGGAGGTATAGTGAGCTTTGTCAGATCAAACTAGTGCCAGTAGAAAAACATACACCTATGAGATTGTTGTTTGTAAATGTGAGACTATGGTATCGCCCCAGGGATTATCTTTGATATCACACGTGATGTCGCTGTCTATATGTGACAACAGTCTCTGTGATGAAGCTTTGGTCTTGGCGGGAGGTGTAATGATTGATTGTCAGACCAAAGCTTACAGCCCAGAAGTATGTCGCATATAACAGCAAGTACACTACAGACCTCGTGGTACCACCACATTCCGGGTTGACACACCTCAGGTCGACCCTAGGGACTTGACCTCGCCCGCTAATGAGGTGTGTTAGCCGGGTGACCTACAATCTCACCTAACCAAGACACCTGGGCAGGACCACACCTGCACACAGCTATCCAGATCAAACCAGTTTAGTGATAATTGGTCGCCCAGTCATCAAAACATTACCGAGTTCTTCACCCGCCACCCACCACAGCCGGCCTAAGTCAGTGATAGTGAGGATATGGACTTATATGGACTTTGAGGGGTTTGACAAAGAGGCCCTGCAAGCCTATGTGGTGGATAGTGATACAATTGATACAAGTGATACAGATGAGGGCCAATAATGTGCCCTCTGCCTCGGAACCAACCCCCCATCCCTGTGTGTCCAGCCATCTTTTCTACTAATGTAAGTGTTAAAAAAACTAATATTATTGATATTTCTCTTAATTATTAATTGTGTGTGCATACCATCATAAATTAAGATTATATTTTTACTACAACATAGTTGTGTGTCGTCAAAAAGTGGAGTTTGGGGGTCGGGCCAGTCTCTATTGGAATTAATCCCACATGTTCTGTTGTTCACTTTACGCGGTACCCTGTGGGTTCAATTGACCGCGTAAATCGGGGTACTACTGTAAATATATATATATATACTGTATATGTATATATATATATATATATATATATATATATATATATATATATATATATATATATATATATATATATATAGAGAGAGAGAGAGAGAGAGAGAGAGAGAGAGAGAGAGAGAGAGAGAGAGAGAGAGAGATACCTACTTTATATCTAAGATGGAATTATGTAAAGCATTTTAGAATCACAGCCTCTTTGAAATTCATTTTAGGTAAAGTACAATATATGCAAAGAGCAACCGAATTATAACGGAAAGGTGGGGGAGAAGAGAGGAGATTCGATGGGGGAGGCGGGATAAGAGGGTAGACTAGGTGAGGTGGGTAGTCAAGGTGCTAATGGACACAAGAAGATCAAAGGGAAAGTCTGCTCTCATGGCCACTACCACAGACCTGACCTGACTTCACCTCACCTCACGAAACCACTGCATGGTGTCTCCCCACACCTTACCCTTCACGGCTCCACCCATACCATACTCTTCACCAACACAACTCTTTTATAATGGTTCATTACAGTGGTCCCTCGGTTAACGAACGGTTCGATTAACAAAATTTCTAACGAATTAGCTCCCATAAGGATTTTCAATTCGACTAACAAAATCCTTACAACAAACACGTTTTGTTGTGCGCATCAGCTGATTAGCTGATCGGCTAGTCCAACAATACAGTAATTGGTTCTATGTTTACATTTATTTCCAGTGAAGTAAATATCAAGAAAGTTGGTCTCTTGAATATTTCTGCATTTTTTATATTAAAATTATTGGTCATTCTGAAATTTATTTAACATATTGATAATATAGACAGTATAGGGAACAGTTTTAGTGTCCTCATCAGCTGATTGAATCACCCTTCTCAATTTAACTTTGTTTACAGTGGAGTGAACATCGATTTTGTTGGTCTCTTGAATATTTTTGCATTTTTACATTAAAATTATTGGTCATTCAGAAATTTAGTTAACATATTGATAATATACAGTGCAGAAATTATTATGAAACATGAAGAAGGCATTAGAACCAATGCACTCTGTAAAGAATATGGCATGTCATCATCGACCTCTACAATCAGCTGTTTGATATGTAAACAAAGCTGCCGGTAATACGACATACACACCTCAAAGTAAGTTAATACCGTACAATATTCTATTGTTTTTTATTTATTATTGTACAGTACACTGTACAGTACAGTACAGTACTGTATTTAGTTTATATTTAATGTTTTGTTAATTCTATTACTGGTATACAGTGCTTTGTATGTACTTTTTCTGTGAGTTGGAACCAATTTCCCAATATCCCATTGAAATAATAGATTCGGTTAATGAACGACTCTGTGGAACGAATTGTGTTCGTTAACCGAGGGACCACTGTATTGATTAATTAATTAAAAATGTATTATTAATTTGCCACAGACATTAAAACTCTTTGTTTGGGTCATGTAATGAACAATTTTTGTTTTTCAATTGTATTGAAGTAAAAGTATTAGAAAATCATACTTAAGTAAAAGTATAATTTTTTTAGTACTTTTTAAAAAGTAGATACCCAAATATGTTACTTGACTACAGTACTCAAGTATATTTATTTTGTTACTTTACAACTCTGTTGACAAGGGCTGGAGCCCACTGAACTACACTGACTGTGTGTGTGTGCACCTTCTATCACACTCCCGAAAGGGAGAAAGTTGCCAGTAATCGATTACTGTACTAAAATCAAATATTTACAGTAGGTCCTCGTTTAACATTGCCCCCGACAACGTTGTTTCGTTATAACGTCGTTACTCTTTAGATACCCATGATTCGGATAACGTCCCGCCGATTCGGTATAACGTCATCAAGGACTACTTTGTACAGTGCATCACCCTCTCTCACCCAGTCAGAGCGGGAGGAGGAGCCACCCTCCTCTCCACTACCCACCACACACTTGCTCCACCTCTGCCCATCAGTGAGTACAATACAAAATGATTTAGTTTATTATCTTTTTGGTTATAATATATACTATTTTCTATAAAAATTACATTGAATTTATGTATGTGTAATTTATTTTATGGGGCAAACGGAGGCTAGGGAACGTAACTCCCGTATTTTATCTATTTCTTATGGGGAAAATTGATTCCGTTAACGTCGCCGTTTTCAGGAACGGAATCACGACGTTAAGCGAGGACTTACTATAGGGAGATGCGTTCCTGATGTTTTTTTAACTATGATATACTGTATATATACAGTACCTGTACTGTACTATATATGAAGGGCACACGTATTAATAATCACAGATTACTGTATTCCAGTTTTAACGTATCTTTACTAATTAATGAATAACAAATAAAAAATATATTGTACAATATTTTATCATGGATGACATACATTAGTAGAATGGGTGAGAGAGGCGGTGAGACGCGGAGGTGAGACGGAGGAACCGACCATTGGGGAGAAACTGACCATGTAGTGGTCAATTTCTCCCCCAAGAGTCGCTTCCCTCACAGGCGCACTACTTCACCACATATGCCCACGTGAAAAAGTGTACTAAATAAACTTTTATAAACAACATCTGTACTAATTGTGTTAAGAGATAAATCTGATACCATAATGATCCTGAATAAATTCTCTATAAGGCATTTCCAATAAGATATCCTTAAAAAAATATTTTGACACAAAATAATGATGGGGATTCCATTCTTTTATATATATATATATAAAAAATAAGAAATGTTTATACCGGAGTCAGTAAATTAAGTTCTAATTAAGTTACACACCATTTTCTACCAAATAATCTTGAATAGTTTACCTAAAAGTTTGGTTAAATAATTATGTATCTTTAAAAACAAAAAACAATTTATGACACCGACATGATTGAAGCTGTGTTACAGCAGAGACTGTAATTTTCCACTTTTCACAGGAAAATTTCCCTAGTTTAAACAACTCCTCTCACATGGAGCTGTATTTATTTATGCAAACACCACTGTATATGTACAATATATTGTTAATACTGTAAACAATATAATGTATACTACTACTATACGTACTGAATATACTGTATTCACCAGCAGATGCTGTCATCTTGAGCCTAGAGTAGGCAGACACTGTTCACTTGCGATGGAGGTTAGGTGGAGGATTAGTGGGGCATGTTACTGACCTGACCTGATGCATTGTCTGGGTGATGGATGAGTGGGTCTCAAGACCTGAAGATGTCTTGATTCAAGGCAAAAGATAAGATGCACCGGTGTTTCCCATTTACCGAATGTACAGTACAGTACAAGTATAGTATACATAATCGTAATCACTTTTTATGTTCTTAACACTGTATTCTTGGCTGATTTTGGTATGGTACAGTAAAGATACCACTGCACAATATAAATTGTATGCAAAAACAGCAGCTAGTGAGGGAACAACCTACTACAATGGCAACAGGATATGAATTAAGTGATCCAAGCAGCTAGGCCACTTATGCACCTGGCTTGTGGGGATGGGTTGGAGCATATGCAATATCTCGGAATGCCCAGAAAATTTATTCTCAGGCCCAGAATGAAAAGATTTGTAGATTTTCTCAGAACCTTCTTGAATTTTCTCGGAAAATGTGCCTGATTTTCAACCTCGGAAACTCATTCACAGACCTGGAATTGAGAGAATTTTCCAGAAAAATTCTGAGCTAATTTCAATTTCAGGTCTTGGAGAGTTCCGGCTAATGGGGGATTTTGCCTAATGGATATATTACTAAGAAAGTGTCCTTGCCATCAAAGAAGATTAGAAGTTAAAAACTCAAACTCTCACATGTATTAAAAACAGAAACTATATATACTGTACAATAGCTCCACGAAACTTATGAGGCAATACTATATTCACTTTCTTCCACATCACATAAGTGGACACCTATTATGTAAAGAAGAACAGAGTAAGTGAATAACTGTAATGCGAATAATTTTAAGGAAATTCAAAGGTGTAATGGGGGAGACAAACCTGTGATTACAATTGGTTGAATGGAGATGTAAAAACTTTTGTGATGTTTCTCAGTGACCCAGAGAAACATCCATTACTAAACAAGGAAACACTATATATATTCAACAGGAATAAACACAAGCATAAAAATTTAATTATAAAATCAATTTACTCAACACATTTAGAAAAAGACTATTAATGAAAAGGATGAAATATGTAAGTTAATGGGGGATATCATACAGTATATCAGATGTACCATCAAATGTCAGATACACCATAGAAGAGCTAAGGTAATAAATACTTCTTGAAGTACATCCATATACAGCAGAAAGATTATATATATGACAAGACAGAACTTATGTCTCACCATTCTCTCTCTCATGGCGATGTGAACGATGATTGTGGCGAGCGTGTCTTCTACGCCTTCTGTTCTCAGTTTCAAATTCAGAATCTGAGGATACAATATTAGCCCGGCCTCGGCCAAGTGTGCGTTGCAGGAGAATGGAAGATGAGTGACGATGAAGATGATGATGGTGGCGTTTCTCTATCAAAGCAGAATCTGAATCTTCTGTGGAGGACAGAACAGGGCCAGAGGAATCCCCTGTAAGTAAAAACCCCCAAAAGATTTGTTAAAGTGAAAAAGAAAAACTTGTCTTTTAAGAATCATCCACACATATATTACTTTGAAAAGGAAAACAAAGGAACAAAGGCACCTGAAAAAACAATCCCATCCAGCCTTACAGGTGGGATGGAGAGACTTATCACAGTAGAACCATCTTGGTGGGGTACATGTAGCCACATCATTCATCTACATACTGTATACTATTTGTACACCATCTGTTGAATACTTGCAGATGAGTTGATTTTACAAATATGATTACAGTCAGACAGACAGGTACACACACAGACACCTATCATAATCCCCTACAGCCTGGGGATAGGAAAGAGTAGCAGGTACAATATTCAGGGATAATTTTTTGCCTGATGAGTTGCATTTTCAATCACAATTACGCAATAACCCTCTTATTTGTGTACCATAATTTTTTAATTTAATCTTACAAAAGCTGCAATCCGTCATTCATAACATAACGTGAAGCAGAGATGAAAATCCTGGAACCAAGTCATGCTGCATCCCTTCTTTTATTTGAAATTAACTTTTAATTCATCATGTAAATGTGATCAGCTAATTCAACAATATATTCTCAACATGAACACCAATCTATCAAACACATCATCATTATTACCGTTTCAGACACTTACCAGTATCTTCATCTTCCTCCCTATATTCATACACATAATAACCAATATTGCTTGATGTATACTGGGTTGTTGTATGACTACACACAGGAACACTATATGCTCCTTCCATCTCAATTTCTGAGCTTTCCTCATTGTTGTTACTTGGGAGATTACATCTTCCAGGTTCCCAATCACTATGTTGATTTGTGTCGCTTAGGTCCAAACCCCACAGCTGAAAGAAGAAACACAAATATATATATATATATATATATATATATATATATATATATATATATATATATATATATATATATATATATATATATATATATATATATATATATATATATATATATATATATATATAATATATATATATATGTTCCTCAAGTAATAGCAGTGGAATACATTTACAGTAATTAAAATTCTATGCATAATCTACATACAGTATTTTACATCTTATATAGAATGATAAACAGAATTATTCTGAGAGGTTGTAAGAATGATATAATAGTCAAATAATGAAAAATGACAGGAGTCGAGAACAGACCTCATCACTACATGTACAAGTTTCAGAGTCAATACTTGGAGAGCAACATTTATGTGGCTGTGGACTCAGTAAAGAAGACCCAAGTGAAGGACGGAGATTGGAAGGTGGGGCAGCCGAGACTGAAGTTACAGTAACTGGTAAAGGCCACGTTTCTGGAGATGTTGCTGTTTTGGAGGCAGTGACGAGTGATGCACATGCTGATGAGCTGGATGCTTGAGCAACACCTGAGCCAGCATTAGATGTCACACACGAAAACAAAGCTTCTGTGTCCACATCTTCTTCCTCTGGTGTAATGAAAAATTTCTCCGCATCCAGGAGAAGGCACACAATAGCCAGGTGTCCTAATTGTGCCGCACGACCTAATGCTGTTCGCCCACATGATGGAAGCACATTCACATTGGCACCTGTAGGAATCCATTTAAGAAAATGGTAATGTGAGAGTATCTAATCCTATCAGTGGGTATGAAATGTGATCTCAGTATTACAAATATTTGTTATTTAAATCATGCACACACCAATACAGGGTACAGGTATTCTTAAATGCCTTTCCACTCAACAACATTTTACTAAAAGAAAGGTCTCTCTCTCTCTCTCTCTCTCTCTCTGAATGAAATCCGTGTGCAATTTTACTGTGTCTACACTGTGATTGTTCCCACAAACAGTAATGAAAGGGATAACCCTCGAACAAATATTATGTTAGGTTCTAAGTCCTGTCATGTTTATCGGGGGTGCCTGCCCGTATGTAGAGTATTGAATAAGTGGAGATAGAGAGAGAGACATAGAGAAGGATGTGGTGTATTAGCAGAGGAGAGGTGTTTTGTATATGAAACTCCTGACACAGCAAAATGCGTCATCCCAAGCAGCACATGTGACGAAGTGCACTGGCATTTGAGCTCTCCCCATCTTAGAGTGAACACTCAACCTGTTCTGTTTGAGACCATCAATATGTAAGTTTAACCTGTACCTAAGTTTACACAGGTAGACTTTGTCCATTGTATCGTTTATCATTGTGACAACATGGAAATATGGCACATTAAGTACTCATTATAGGGGTTAAGAAAGTACAAATTATACAGCTAAGATAGGTATGAGTGTGGTGAGAGTATGTAGTGGATTAAACATTTAAGTATGATTACCTATGTATGAATTATTATTTGAAATACTCTGTACTAAGAGTGAATTGCATCCAACAGGTTTGACCGAATTACAACTTCGAGTGGAACGTGAATTGGTCTTATTATCCCATAATCGCTCTGAAGGCGATATCAGTGATGATCTATGTTACTTTGGCTAGCTATTCAACAATCTGCAATGGATGTAATATGTACAGTAAATATCAATGAGACAAAAAAGCTTTATGTGAATAACAGCATTGAGTCGGGGGTAACTTGGTCTTTTATATCAGTTAACCATATCCCATTCCAGGGGTTCTTTACTTATTGGATACTTCAAGGATGCTTTGGTGAAGCTATTTTTAGTGGTAAATAGATCAATCAAGTCAATGACTAAACCTACTGTATATCTATACACAACATACTTCTAGTGTGTTTGGGCATAAAAGGTGTTTTCCCACAATGCATTAGGGTATGTATGACAAAGGTAAAAAGTGCAAGGAACAACCATGTACTGTATGTGCAAACCTCAACCCGACATAAAGAAAATTTTGGTAGCTACAATAATAAGAAACAAATTATGTAAGTGCAAATTCAATTCTTGTAAAAACAGCATAAAGAAGGTGGCCCATACATTTTATTTTTACATAATTATGCAAAAATGCTTTAAAACTACATGTACTATTATATAACTGATTAGTAAGTACAGTACCTATAAAATTATCAATTCATAAGCAAGGTATTACCATACAAACCTTTCTTTAACAAATCCATAACAGTATCCACATCTCCAATGTTGATAGCCTCATACAACAGGTCAGCCATTGCTGCAAGTGTAGCCATTGTTGGTTACGTGGCACAGTCAGTGTTTGTGCAAGGCCAGATCTTGTATGTGCATCAGCCTAAATGATACAAAACTTTGAGTCAGGAATAATGTATCGAGAAATACTAGTCAAACTCATTCATTTAGCACCACTTTGGGAAGGAAAATTTATAAGAGACTACTGTACTATACATATGTCTCTGCCTGTAGGGAATAAACAATGACCATGTAAACAGTTCACATTGTACAAGCTACAATATGACTGTTGGAATTAAGAAAATAAATAGATATCAAAGTTGATCATTTACCAGATCTTCATGCAAAATGAGTACATTTGTGAAATCAAATTTAAGGGTAAGACCCTATAGTGGATACCTTCCCGTACAACTGCTGGTTGATCACTTGCCGTCCGCTTACCAGCCAATCAGCAGTGAGTTTCACAGACAGAGCCTCACTCTCGGACTGCGCGGTGATTGGCCCGTTACCGCCTTCACCTCAGCCAATCAGTAGGGCCGCTCACTTCACACTTCTCTACCTGATCCTGCAGAATCGCATAAATACTCCCCAGCCTCACCGTGAAGGCCATTCTACTCAACGCTCTCAAATCAACAAGACCTCTCAACTATATGCTGATAACCACAAGGAAAGAAGAAAACACGAAGTTCCCAAACGCTTTCGTGTAATTCACATCTTCAGGGGTGAGTACAGACTAGAGAGAGTAATACAAATCAAGGTGTATATATACAGAGGAGGGTGAGACCAGGTCCACAATGGTCAGGTACAGGTAGTTCTGCTATAACGCGATAGTAGTGTTCTTGTAAAACATCGTGTTATAGAAATTCATGTAATAGAAATAACGGCTTATGGAGAAAATAGGGTTAGGTGCAGATTACTCCAAATCGAAAAAAAATTTCGTAGTTAGCCTAACACAAAGGATAGCACAGTCTAAATAAATGTTACATTCATATCTAATAATGAAATCATACAGTAAATGTTACACTTTACCTTGAAAAAATATGAATATAACTTGATGGGGGAGAAGGGTGATGTTGAGGCTGAGGAGTCATGAAACATCAAGCTTTTCTTCAAGTGTTATAGCCTTTCTTTTACGATCACCACCGGAAATGCGATCACCAGAGTGCTTCCCAGAGATATTCTTCTTTTCCATAGTCACAAAATTGGAGAAACAGTAATCAGAATTCACTGAGGACACTTAAAAACTTCACCTGTTTCAAACAGAGTGGGAGTAAACAGAGAGCGCGGGTCTAAAACGCTATGTATTTTGTTTTTCTCTTATTTAAAACTTTACATTTTACATATACTGTACAGCTATACTGTACTATACATAAATATTACATAAATTATTTCTGCAATTCTTCACAAACAAAACACGTAAATCAATTGAACATGTGATGTCGAACGTGAACTGTAAACACTGCATAACCCCGCGCCAAGCCACAATGTACAGTACACTTTAAACGCTACTTATTTTGTTTTTCTCTCTTATTTAAAATTTTACAATTTACATATACTGTACAGGTATTTCTTCACAAACAAAACACATAAATCAATTGAACAAGTGATGTCGAACGTGAACTGAAAACATTGAGCCAAGCCACAACACTGTACAGTACACTTTAACACTTTAAACGCTACGTATTTAGTTTTTCTCTTTTATTTAAATTTTTACAATTTACACATATATATATATATATATATATATATATATATATATATATATATATATATATATATATATATATATATATATATATATATATATATATATATATATACATATATATATATATATATATATATATATATATGTGTGTGTGTCAATTGTAATTTACATATTATTCATATTATGCTAGAGCGCCCACAAAACATAAGAAACGTTTGAGTCCCCCAGTAGAGATGTTCGTTCTCTATCCACTCCAGGATGTCTTAGTCCTCCGTTTTCTTTTTGTGTACTCGCTCAGGGACTCAAGTATTTCTGTATATGACACAGGATGATAAGGGAATTTGAATTTATTTGTTTATTTATTTATATATAATATACTGTAATATATTAAATATACTGCAAGTATTTTCTTTAATTTATATACGTGTTTCGCGAAAACGGGAGGCTACATTTATGGTGATCGTTCAGGACCAAACTCCGAATCCATGACGTGACTTCTGTTCATTATTTATATCCTAAATTTACCACTGTAGGTAGTTTCAAGAATTAATGCAGTCATTTACTGAATATTCTTTGCAAAAAAATAAATTTTAAATGAATTATTTATAAGAGATAAGTATTATGATCAGTAAATATACAGATATGCATTACTGACCACCTCCGAACACAAGGACGGCTAAAAATAGCCACAGGCGGTCACAGTCAAGGACACTTTCCCTTTCTTGTCACTGGCAAATGGGGGTGGGGGGATGATAATAGCAGCTGTGTTTATTACGGTATGTTAGACTGGTTTATAATACATTTTTATTATTTTAATATACCGGTAATCTTCATTTTAATCCAGCTTACCAAACGTAAGTTTCAGTATAAAATAATTAGTGGTACTGTAGGACCTTGTGAGTGGTTTAACTGTATACATAAATATTACATAAATTATTTCTGCAATTCTTCACAAACAAAACACATAACTCAATTGAACATGTGATGTCGAACGTGAACTGAAGCCACAACAACCGTTCGAGTGGAATCGCGTTAGAGCAAACGAGTTCGTGTTTCACAAATATCGTTCCTCAATTCATAAATCGCGTTCGAGCAAATTCGCGTTGTCAAAACACGCGTTATAGCAGAACTCACTGTATTAGGTAATGACCTTACTAATCTTTAAATAGCACACAACGGTTGGTGGTCAGGTCAGATGGTCAAGTGACCCGGCCTTCTCACCTGATCACAAATCTTCTTAATTACAAAATTGTCCAGCTTGTACATGCCGTTACTCAAATTCGTGTTGGATGCTTCGGTATGTTTAATAGGACTAGATTCTATGATGTTCCTACTATCAATTGAATTACATGGTAATATTGAGGAGGCATTATGCCAGTCAATGCAATGCTTGTTATCCCTCAAATGAACAGACAGAGCATTGGATTCCTGGCCTGTCCTAACACTGTATTTGTGTTGTTTAATTCTAGTTGCAAGATCTTTACCTGTCTGGCCTAGACTGTCTGATACACAGAATAGGTAACACTTTTAAGTTCAGTATTTATAGAAAACCAACTAATGTGTGTTCATACATTCATTATTATTCTGCCCACCATAATAAAGTCAAACAGTCAGTATTTTCAACAATGTTTTTACGTGCCTTGAGAATTTGCAGTCCGGAATTCATCGATGAGGAATACAAATATATATATAATATTGGCTCAAACCTTAAATACCCTAGATCTTTCATAGACAAATGCTTAAACATTACTAAGAAAACTTTTTATAGAACTGATCCCAAGCCCACCCATGACCATAAGAATATCTTAATATTACCATTTCACAAAAATTTCTCACACATTCCTGCACAGCTAAAAACCTGGAACGTCAATGTGGCATTTAAAAACTCATGCACTGTTAAACAAATGTTAATCAAGAACTCCCCCAACAACACAATTGGTTGCATTTATAAAGTTCCTTGCAAGGAATGTAATATGTTTTACTTAGGCCAGACAGGTAAAGATCTTGCAACTAGAATTAAACAACACAAATACAGTGTTAGGACAGGCCAGGAATCCAATGCTCTGTTTGTTCATTTGAGGGATAACAAGCATTGCATTGACTGGGATAATGCCTCCTCAATATTACCATGTAATTCAATTGATAGTAGGAACATCATAGAATCAATTTCAATTTCAATTGTTTATTCCTTGATAGAGGAAGCGGGATCCTAGTGCTGTCACTAGGTACCCCTGTACAATGACACCAGAATCATCTGGCAAGTGTGAAAAGTATATACAGTATAAATATTATAAAGGGGCTTACTAAAGCCTAAGGAAGGAAGGATGTTCCTTTAACACATAATTAATATTATTTACAAAATATCTGGCCAGTATTGGGAGGATCATCGTGTCTCTGTCAGGGGGTCGTGGAGTGGTGGTCCAGCAGGCGTCACGGAAGCGTTGTGTGTGGGGACATCTAAGGAGGTAGTGAATAAGGGTGCGGCTGTCGGGTCTTCTGCATAACGCACAAGAGCGTTGCTCAGGGGATGTGGGGATACCAATCTCCCAAGCAAAGTCATAACCAATGATGATACGGGCAGCAATCACGTCCCCCTTCCGCGACCCTTTCCCGTAGACGTATGAGAAGTCAGGAAGTTTACGGAGGACATCGTACCATGTGGGCGGGGAGTCCAGGGGGATGGCTGCTTCCCGAGCTTCTCTCTGTTTGCGGCGGATTTGGGTCCTAATCTGTAAGAGTGTTCGAGGAACAACGTAGTCAGGTGTGGCCTTGTTGCAGCCAGTCTTGGCAAGGTCATCTGCTGCCTCATTCCCCAAGATACCGACATGACTAGGTATCCATAGGAATGTCACAGGACGGCCTTCATCCTGAAGTGTGGATGTTAACCCTCGTATTCGGAGGATGAGGTCCTTATTTTCCCCAGATCCAATCATAGAATCTAGTCTTATTAAACATACCGAAGCATCCAACATGAATTTGAGTAACGGCATGTACAAGCTGGACAATTTTGTAATTAAGAAGATTTGTGATCAGGTGAGAAGGCCGGGTCACTTGACCATCTGATCCTGACCACCAACCGTTGTGTGCTATTTAAAGATTAGTAAGGTCATTACCTAATACCTGACCACTGTGGACCTGGCCTCACCCTCCTCTGTATATATACACCTTGATTTGTATTACTCTCTCTAGTCTGTACTCACCCCTGAAGATGTGAATTACACGAAAGCGCTTGGGAACTTCGTGTTTTCTTCTTTTCCTTGGTTATCAGCATATACCCAGATCACGCTACAGTGATTTACTTGCATATATATATATACATATATATATATATATATATATATATATATATATATATATATATATATATATATATATATATATATATATATATATAT